TTACAAAATAATAGAAGCGAGTGAGAAGATCCCGACGGCTTGCTTACTCCGTACATATACAGTGCAAAGACGATGTTACCTTGAAGTTACATTTAGGACCACATCAAGTAAGGATGGACAATGGCGGGAGCAGTCTTTCAATTATAGCCTGGCACGGTGTGCTTCACATCAAGCCTTCTGCAGCATCACGACTCGAGGTGCAGACTGGGCTCTTTTGCATAAAAGAGGCTTCTATTGAAAGATAATCAGCATCAGTGTCAAACTTACATTCCTTGCTCAAGCAATCCTTCCGGGTAAATAGAAGTCTTACAAGCTCTAGTCCCTAAAGGACAAGTGCATAGCGTAATCCGTTTATCCTTGTTGGAGCAAACCACCAATAGCAAAGATCAGACAGGAACAACTCCTCAAGCCTCTTTCCAGCTCCCTCCTACCAACCGTCGGCAACATCGGTTGGCAATCGGCATATCCACAGAGGGACTTTCGTTTCCTTCAGTAATTTTAGGCGCATGGGTAGATCATGGGTCTGCGTACAGTAGTTTATGCAGCTGATCGAGTTTGTTGCCAAGAACGCCATCCAGCGCCTGAAAACATGAATCTTACTCCCCTGGATAGGATAGGACCTAGAAGCGGCTCCGAAACTCGCCCTATCACTAGCCACGATTACTGATGGTGAATGGATTTTACTTTGCTATTGTCACTAGTGCAGATGTGCCACGTAAACCTATTTTAACGCGCGAAATGAACAAGCATAAAGAACATCAACGAGTCTCATTGGAGGGATAATACCGGTTTACCGCCTCTCCTGAGGTAGCCAAGGTACAGGCTTCATGTTGGCGGTGTCGTAGTAGATCATTTGCAAAGACCAACGTAACACACAAGACCCAAACCCTTACTCTCTCGGCTGAGAAAGTCGGGACACGATTCAGAATCTCTTATACCAGTTGCAACCTTTTGAAGACTAGGACAAGCCATCACCCCTAGTTACCATCAGCAACTTTCGGGGTAGGATCGATCAGGAGAGCTAAGATGGCAATCCAGTAGTGTTGCAACCGGCATGACCCTATACAGTGGGTAGGGGTATGACACCCTCCCGTGGAATTCATCAAGCTCGAGGATGTCATCGTCGCCCGCAAGGCAACATGGTTAAATGAGGGGTAGCACCGAGAATCAAGCAAGGCTGGCAATAATATTCCGAGGAAAAAGCTCCAATCAATGTTACATATACGTACAGACGGATATGCGGTGGGATGAATTATTGCCCATGATCATATCCCAGGTGCATATCCGAGGTGATGAGAATGGCAGCCCAAGTCTCGGCACTCACTACCAGCATCATTATTGACGGAGTTCAGCAAATTCCGTAGGCCTGCAAAGAAGCTTTTGAATGTGGACTTATTGATAGAGCACCCCGTATGCACATCTACGAGTACTGGAGGCTGATTCCAAATATTCTAATCAGGCACGTTATTGGGCTCATATGCGCATCCTTCTGGCTCGGTATAATTGCTTGTTGAGTTAATCCTTGCAACTTGCCAAGCAGATGACCGCCTACTAACTAACTAGTCCAATAGAACTTGAATGTCAGCCACTCTTTCATCAAACCGGTCTCATTACTCTAAGCGGTCTTTGATGGAGAAGGGTTCCTAGAGATGCAGTCGCAAACAATCTGCAACTAAAATGCTACTCCGTAGAGAGAAATATACCACACCACTGCCTACAGCGAGTCTCGTTACATCCATCTCAAACACACCGAGACTTTCAAAGACCACGCTGTAATGGCCGAAGAAGAACTGGTGTCGGTAGTGAGAAACCGAGAAGCATCGAATCCCAGTCCTTACAAGCGCTGTCCGCCGAACGGGTGCAAGTTTGCGCGGCTAGTCATGTCCCAGTACGGATATCTTGTCATCCCAATGTGGAAAAAGGTACGCATGGGGTCAAAGAAGAATCCAACACTTCGAGATGGCTTCTCAAGATAAACCCGTAATGGGAATGTAGTGGAGCACAACCAGGGCCATGTCTTAGTGATGATGATGGTACAAGGCGCAAATTGGCATCGCCAACGATATGGTGAGCGCGTATCTAAGCTGGGGAAAGCCTATCCGAGCCGAGTATTGCTGGTTAAATCCTTCAAGTTGTTCTGTTGGCCGCCTGTGGTTGCCTGACAAGGCATTTCTCCTCGGATCATCAAGGCAAAACAAGGCAAGGCGCCCGAAGCAAGGATCAACGTCTATTACGGCAGCGCTTGATAGCCTTGATGTAAATCACTGGGCCCATTACCACGGTCTCGGCTGCACCCCGAGTTCACAGTTGGCGAGGGGGGCGATATAGGGCCGTTTAGCGAATCCTGACAACTGGGTTCTTGGGACACGCTCGTCAGCCCGAATGCCGCGCTTGGGCGAATCCGTACGACCTAATAACAATAATTAATCCCGAACCCGGTACCGTTGGGGTTCTGGGCCAGCTCTTGCAGGGCTTGCCCCTTTTCTGGGATAGCCGTCAGCAGACATATCGCCGATGTCAGCGGCCATGTCCACTCCATGTCAGCAGGCACGCCTGCACCTGTACTGCATGTTGGCAGTGCCTCGTTCTGAGACATGATATCGCCCTTGAATTTCAGGTAAGAGTTGCCATCACAAGAGTGATACGATGAGGCGTCGGAATCAAATTCGGGGCGACAACATGTAGGATCAAATGCCGGACAACTCCCCGTCCGGAAAGGATTGCCGCGCTTTGCCTTACCACGTTTTTGTACTCGTATTTTCACATGACAGCAATGTTGAATGCCAATTGCACATGTTCAAGGGGTGAGGGGGGGAGCACCCATACCAACCGTTCATACGGCACATGTAGACCGACGGAAAAGTAGCACCCGTGCTCATTACTTCGGGCACTCCCCGGGGACTGTTTTCTGACAGATCGACTTGGTTTCAGTTGTCATATGGAGCTGCGCCGCGCTTGTTTTCGGATTCAATCCCAACTGGTTCCTGTATGGCGTATCTGGAGCGATCCATTATTTCTCCCTCGCGCGGCTATCATCTCGCGTTAAGTTTCTTACGACGAGATTTGCTCGGCGACCATTTTGACAAGTTGACAAGTCACCGTTCGTTGAATTGGGGGCGACTAAGAACCCTAAAGTTTAATGAAATTACTCATTGACAGGTGATAGCGCCCAGGGGCATAGCATGTTCGCATTGACTAATACTAGTGTATATCGTGTTCAAGTCGTGGTTGATTTGCATTGATTCGTCAGATTCTAGAGCGGGTGTGACGGCATTTGGGGCGAGCCCCAGGCGCTGCCGCGGCTATGACTTCTTCTCACCGTCTCGCATACTGATACTGTCCCTTTGTACAGAGTAGATACGTCGGAACAACAATGAATGCAGTTTCCATGCACAGCAATATAATTACCACATTACTATAGCGTACACGTTACTACATATTGTGTACAAATGTTAGTAGAGAGATGTTGGCTCGTTGAGGAGCGTTGAGATACGTGGAGGCCGGATGATGCGGGAAGTAAGATGCTTGGAACTTTTGGTTGACCCCGAGCCAACAACGTTTCAATTCAGTGATGGGTCCCAGATGCCAAACTCAACAGAGCAAGAAGTTCACAAGGGATTACCAACCTACCAACCTAAGTAGCAGAGTACAAGTGAAATAAGGGGAGTGTCGGCGTACTCTCGCCCTCAATGGCAGTGTCAAGGGGTGAGAAGCCGGGGTGATATCTCATATTGATATCTCATACCAGTTCTCAAATCTTTGTGAAGCCCATTTTGGTCGTAATAAAAGACAACTGCCGGTGATGTCACTCGTGATCGTGATCGTGATTCATCATCGGGCGTGCAACAACCAACAGTGATAACGAAATGATTATAAACCAAAATGTAATGCAATGACTACTCCAATCTAAAATAGCAAGTAAATACAGGCAATACGAGACTTTATAAGCCATGGCTTAAAGATCATGTGAACTTATTTTGCTATGGAGTACTCGAAGCGAGATCACTGAAGCAGATCTGTCTGATGAAGCGAGTGAAGCGAGGCTGAGGGGGGAGGCAAGCCAACCCCCTTCACGGTGGCTTCTGCTGGACAGTTTGAAATCTGAATGCCAACATTGTAGAAATATCTAGAGAAACTTGATGAGAATATTTGTAGAAAGATTTCGGACTGCTTTGGAAATGAACATGAATGAAATATAGTGGAGTGTTATACAAGTACTCATCGCAGATATCATGATAAGTTGATAATCGATCGTGTAAATCAACGACTTGCACCAGGGCTCTTTCTGCTTAGTTTCCTTTCCCAATTATTGAAGGAAAGCTCATCTCAAGAATCACTACGCTGCTTTCATTGGATTTTTTTTATGTTGCTTTAATGATTAAAGGCACGATGATGGCAAGATACATGTATTTTAGGGTAGCATACTACAGGTAATTGCATGCATCTAGCCACAAACGTATGCCAGAAGTAGTATACGAGTGAAAGCTTCACGATATAGACACGGATGCCCTCACCTCTGCCATGTCCAACATGTCTGAAATTCCCAACCCCAATATTTTTTTTCTCTTGGGCAAAACAATTTATGTCATCCGACTGCTCTATATCCACTGCCCATTCACGTTACGCATAGCTTGTATCATTACTAAGCTAATGCAGAGTTGACGTGCAATGGATCGTTCAGCGCTTGAAGCTAGCACACTAAGCGAACAAATACAGTGAATTGGAAGGCTTCCAGCAGCTGTGATCAGAGCCTCGGAGAATCGGGACTCTGCTCCGGCGCTGCTTTCCCGCTGCCACTAGCGCACCAGCTGAGCCTTGGCTGCCGATCTCGGACTAGCGGTCACTTGTCATCAAGATGGTGATATTTGGATATCCCAAACCACAGCGCCAGGAATGGCCATCCTCGTCCCATTCTGCTGCAATGCGTCTTTGCTCGCCAGACTCAGACTGGTGGCCCCATCCACTCGACTCAACCAGGCGTCTGCAGCGTCACCGTCATCATGGGCTCAGTCCAACCACCCACGAAGCCATGCCACAACTGCCGTCGGCAGCGGCTCCGTTGTGACCGCTCGTATCCACACTGCAACAAGTGCGCCGCCTCGGGCAAAGAGTGTCTCGGATACGGCAAGCTGTTTCGCTGGACCGGAGCCATAGCCAGTCGCGGGAAGCTCGCCGGCCGGACCTCGAGCGCGCCTGTAAATGCGGACGCGGGCGACGCCGAAGATGCTGACGCCGGTACTGGCACAGACGGGGACGGAGACGAGACGACGCAGGCCGGCTCTGTGTCACCCGTTGTGCGCTCTCGCAGGAGCTCACCGAATGCCGGAGCTCTGAATGGGTACTTTGCAAGACGATCATCGACTGGTGCAGAAGCCTTGCAGGTCGTTTCCGTTTCCCAACCTGCGTCTCCCACCGCCAAGCTGAGCAGCCCTTGGGTGTTGGTCGATCCGCTGTTTCAAGGCCTGGACCAGGCTCATCGGTTCTATCTCAACTACTGTGCGTCCAAGTCCGACTGCTTCCATTTCGTATCCTCTGTGCTAATATCGTATCGTACCTCTCACCAGTCACCACCCGTGTGTGCAAAGATCTGGTCTCCAATGACGGGCCAGAATGCAATCCTTTCCGCAGTCTCATCCCGCTGACTCGTGCTCACCCATTGCTGCAGCACATCATTGTTGCAGCTTCAGCCGCACACATGTCCAACTTGATTAGAATGGGCCTACCGTACCCCGATGGCGGGTTTATACCCGCCAACCGAGATGCAGCATCAACTAGGGCGCTGAATGATGCATTGGTTTCTAAACACACAGCGCTGAAGCTAATGTCTACCGCCATCCAAAATCTCGATACCATTAATGCTGACGTCGTGCTCGCAGCCTCGCTTTTTTTCATCAACGTGGAGTTGATTGAATCTGGAAAGCATGGATGGAGGGCACATCTCGAGGGAGCTGCAAAGATCATGTCCTTCCTGCAGCTTACCAAGGCCTGGGATAGCTCATTACGGGATTACCTTCTCTCAGACTGCTTCATGTAAGCTATTGTACCTTTTGCCTTTGTACCTGGGTCGCTTTCTTTTTCCTTAATACTGACTGCTTTGCTCAGCTACTTTATCCTGGCATCAGCATTTATGCCGGCACGATATGCAGCGTCGCTGAACTTTGAGTCTTCCCAGATTCCATTTGTGCTCGGCAAGACGGTGGCAAATAGTTACTTGTGCTGCCCGCCAGAGCTGATGGAAATCTTACACGAGGCCTCCCAGCTTTCAAATAGTGTGATGGGGGACGAGTCCAACGAAGCCACTACCATGGCTGCTCTGGAGCTCATCGATCGTGCTCAAGCTTACGATATTTATGCATGGGCTCGCGATACAGCCAGAGCTCTTGATCTGCCAAACGATGTTATGCAAAGTCGCATGCATGCAGGGGCCAGTCATCGCTTAGCTGCCTGTATATATATCTTACAGGCTATTCCATCTGCCGGGGAGAGGCTTGGTCCGGAGTTTGCCGCCTTCTTGACGGATGACCTACTGGCGCACTTGAACATGATGCCTGTAGAAGACCCCAATTTCAAGGCAACGACGTGGCCGACATTTATTATCGGTGCGGAGACGAGGGATCCGGTACGGCAAAAATTCATAATGGAAAGACTACGCATCATGACTACAGTATGTCCGTGGGGCTTTATCCATACTGCCATGGAAACGCTTCAGGTTATCTGGAATCTGGCTGCTGAAGAAAGAGGATCCAAGAGTTGGGTGCAAACGCTGAAAGATCCAGAAATGAATTTCTTAATCGTCTGATGTGTCAACCGACTACCAACTTGCTTGGAGCAAAGTATGGCTACTAGGGCGTTACAAGATTATTGGAGGGCTCTTGTTCAACACGAGTTTGGCTATACATAACTACATGCCATTTAAGGGCTCTTCATGACCAAAGTGTCCGTTCTGCCTCAAATCAAGTCATACTACAATGCTGAAACTAAAGCGACAAGGTCGGCGGCACCCCCACCTGAAGACTTTCAGCTGCCACCGGATGACTCATCGCCAGGAGGCAGATTCAACATCCAACTAACTATGTCTGGTGGTCCAGAACGAGCGTGCTGAAGTCTTCTGAATTCTTGGAAGACATCTCTGCCCGAACCAACATATTGCTGTGATGGAACTGCCGTGGCCGGATCTTCTACTCCCTTGTTCCCCGTCTTGGCGGTGCCTTGACCGCTTCAGTCTTCTCGATGAAGAAGGTGAGGATGGACAGGTGGCATACTGGACGCTGCTCCAACATATACTCCAGCAGCCTGTCAACACTTCTGCCCAGCTTATAGACGTTCTCGATACAATTGCCAATACGGGCCGTGGCTCTTCTGGGGCAGCCGGCGATTTCGGAACACTCAGAGAAGCTGTGGAGCATCATCATAGTGACACATTCTTCTCAAGGCTGTGGCCCACTATTGTGCAGCTCTCGCTCAAGCTACCGGATCACTTCCCGACAGGTACTATCCCAGTGCTTCGACCAGGGGACAAGCTGAATCCTACGAGAGACATGGTTGCATGCCTTGTGGCTCATCAGTTCCTGTGCACCTTCCGGGTCCCTCCCTGGCGTGAAGGATATCACGACTTTAGTATTTGGTATGACTCTGAACAACGACATCCGCAGGCAGTGAGGATGTACCTCACAGCGCTCTTCCAATATTTTGAAGAGCTTAGTGCGGATCCTATGTCAGCAAGTCCAGGAAATTCTGTTGATGGGGGAGTAGAATTCTCTTTACACGCCTTCGATAACACGGGAGACTTTGTAACGGGGAAATGGGATCAAATTCGGCTCAGAAATTTGACTGTTGTTTTTGTCCAGAGTTTTAGCACTGAGCAGCAGGAACTTGCCCATCAAGGCCATGATGGTGCGGTGGTGGTCTCTGCTAATAAAGACATCGGTTTTGGACAATCAGCGACTCAGGAGGAGCTCTTCATGGGCAATTGTCCAGAAGCCTGTCCTGCAGTGCTCCTCACTCCAACATTACAGGATGATCAGACTCTGACTGTATGTGGAGCTCGCCCTATGCTGAGAATCTTGGGTCAGCGCCGCGAAGTCTCCTGGGAGAAACTCGGGCCAGGAGAAAGGCAAGGAGGTAGAATGCTGCTCATGGACGCACTAGAACTCGATGAGGCGGATGAGTTGGGGACATTGCCTGATTTGAAGCAGGAGAACATTTTGCGTGAGATACGAAAGGCGTATACGGCGTTTTCGTCCTGGACGAGCGGTGATGCTTCGACTGTGTGGACAGGGTTATGGGGCTGCGGCGCATTTAACGGCGATCCTGCTATCAAAGTGATTATCATGTGGATAGCGGCTTCGTTGGCAGGCAAGGAATTGCGGTTACTCTGTGATGCTTCCCAGAGTGACTTTGGTGACAAATGCGGACGATTTGCCAAGAAAGTTAACTCGACTTGGACGGTGCGGGAGCTTGAAGATTGTTTGAAGGCTATACCTCAGGGTATTAGGCGCTTAGAGACGATGGATTGGCTGCTTGACAATGTACCTGATTTTTGATAGAGATACAAACTTGATACTACAATTAAATACCTGATATGACTGTATTTTTGCCTTGATAATAGTGTCGTGAAGAATGCACAAGAGCAAAGCACCATTGAAAAATAGAGAATCGTAATGACGTGTGATGTTAAAAGGAATATTGAGGTCCATAGAGTGGACCGGATATAGAGAAGCAGGACTCTGGAGTAGGCCAAGTAGGTCGATGCCATCAGGTAATAATTACAATTGCATATACAACATCCATACAACACCCATTACTCGATTTGAAGTGTAAGATTGTAAGGCAACTTCTGTTACAGTAAGACGAGAGCCTTCTACTAATTGAGGATGTTGAGCCGTGATTTTATGCTCAATTTTTAAGCCTTATTGTCTGTTATCATATGAAAGGGTCCTATCGGCTGCAGCTCCGCTACCAATCTTTCTCATCGAAATGTCACCAATTTGCAAGAATGAAGTAACTCAAACCATTTTGGCAGAAAAAGAGAAAAAAAAAAGAAAAGAAAAGAAAGAGAAAAAGAAAAAAAACCCCAAAGAAGAGCACCGAAGTGTTTTACTAAAACCCTGAAGCTTCAGATATTTTGCCATGGAACCATCTATTCATGAGCATCAACGTGGGGCCATCTCGAAAGCGTAGGCCTTCACCAACAAAAAAAGCGATGAACACACTCCGAAACGCATCGAAACCGCCTCGGCAAAAGGCATTAGTGATTCACATAGCGCTCTTGGCACGCATAAACGAGAGTCACTGGTGGTGTGTACTTGGTTGAACAAGCAATTAATTGGGCGGATGATGGAATATGCCTCAGCGTGAAACAAGGGGAGAGACAGTCTCTCGACGGCATTGTAGTTTGGAACCCGTCGCCATAACACAAATGCATAATAATGCCTTCAATAGGCGGGATTAAGATCCCAGTAACGCAAAATATACATATCATAGTCACATGCAGTGACGCCACCGTCGCACAACAGCGTTGCGAGGAATCGATCGATAGACTTGGGGCAGTCATTTGACTGGCTGATGCTTGAGACGGAAACAGTATCAGCATGAACACCATTGGCTGGATGTTCGAGTAGCCCCCCAAGAGGGTGTAATAGAGCAGAGAGATGCAATTCTCTAAATTTTGAGGCCGAAGAAGTTCCACGAAAAGAGGGTGTGAGGCCTTGTTCTGGAATGGCACCAGAGAACAGGCGGGGCCATAATTAAGAAGATTCCCAAGTACGAAGGATCGATAAAAAGAAGCGAGTCGGTTTAGTGGCACATTGATGTGCAGCTCTCTCAAACCATCAGTTCTGAGTGGTCGTGAGGGGAGATCTTTTACTTTGCCGGGCCTGTGGAAACGGTTCGTACTAGAGCGGACTGAGAGCTGTCATGAGGCTTACCCGTGGTTACATGGGGTTACCGAAGCATCAAGCTTCTGCACGCTGCTGCAAGCCGCGCAGCCGGTGCGGAGGGTGATTTGCATAAGGGCCGCTGCAGAATATCCCGCGTGCACATCGGATGCAAGGCGGGCCCGATATGGCTGCGAGGCTTGACGCAGTGCGACTTGGTGCACGGAGAGTAATTGCTCATATCGAGAGATTCAAATCCAGCACTTGCTAAGGAACCTGTCATGGCCGTTTGATAAGAGTATATATGTGGGCGTATATTCGCACGACAAAGAATGGGCGCACGTCTCTTTCACCCGAGGGACGGGAGACTGGTTCCATAAAACGGTAGGCGGGGATACGCAACCACGACAAGTTCACCAACGACCAAAGGAGCACGCACGCTTATCTAGGCATGTCAGATGTGACGATCGCGCACATACCAAGATCGCATATGAGAGGGGAATCAGCAAGGCAGAGGGTAGCCTCGGACAAATGGGGAGCAGAGCAGGATGCATCTCTTGACGGGCTCTTGCATGTGTCTGCGCATATCCGTCGCATCCAAGATTCTCCGGGATGGGTCAATCAGAGTGGCAGCCCGCAAGGCAATGTCAGGAACCGGGCTTTGGCTTTGTGGTGTAGTGAGTCCTGAAGCATGATATCGCAGCACCATGCCTTATATGGGGCCAGTTCGTGTTACGGAGCGGGTAAATCCGCGGCGGGCGTGACCTTTCGGCGATGGAGAGAGAAAAGGGACGTTGAGAGCGTTCGACGATGCGAGAGAGGGAGGTGAGGGGCCGTTTGGCGTCTTGTGGCTGTGGATAGATTGGACGGGATGGTGGTTGGGTAAAGTTGCGTCGGACAAAAAAGGCTCTTCCGTCTGTGTATTTCTGGCCTACCTTGGATAGAAGACGTGAAGTAGATTGGCGATGATTGTGAAAGGTGAAAGTGAAGGTGAGGATGAAGATGAGGGACACAACGGAGAGGAAGAAGGAGAATATGCTGATGGTGATGGTGATGGTGATGGTGAATGAGTATGAAGAAGGAAAATGTCAATAGTAAGGGCAAGGGTCTTTTGGGAATATCTCGAGGTACCTGCAAGAGTACCACGGCAGGACGCTCTTTCCCAGCCAAGGGGAGGGGCTTCAACCCCCTCGTGATCGCCTCTCTTTTTTTCCTTTTTCCTCCTCTCCCTCCTCTTCTCCTCCTTGACTCGCTATCCGTAATTAATTCACGTTCCTTTTTCTTCTAGTCACCGTTAGGTGCTGACCGTCACACACCATCTTTGGCCGTTTGGCTTCGTCCCGGCTCCCTTGTCTCAATGGCAGCTTCCTATCCGGTCGACGCTGATCCGTATAACATCGCTTGTTCCGGTCAGTTCCGCTATTCTCCCTTCTGAGAGAGGGTGGTGGGCGTTTGCAGCGAGCGGCTGTCATTGTTCAACAGCAGTTTTGCATACTGCGGGCTTTCCGATCTGATACCGCATTATGACGGCCGTTACCTCAGCATCATCTCTCTAGCCGTCCGCTGCTCTAGTAAAGAGCTTCCTCCCAGCTAGCAGCAAGCGTCTTGACATCTTACTGTCTAGACGGGCCGGCAAACGCGATGCCGCGACTTATGTATTCAGCCCTCGGATTCATGCCCAGCTAGCTCGCCCCTCCTTGCTCAGCTTGTTATCGGCGAACAAGAAAAACGAATGGCCAGACTAAATTCCATCTCGATGGGCGGAGCACAAATCAGCTCCCAAGACTTATTACCCGGCGTGCAGCGGTTACCCCTGCAGTGAATGCATGCTGGTAGCCGTCAAAGATCAAACGGCCTCGAGCTAGATATTCGACGATGGTTCCAGAGCCATGTGATTGGTAGCCATTCACAGCCCTTTGAACTTTGAATTCTAGTGCATAAACATGCGAAAAATAGCTCCCGGCAGAGCAGCCCAGGCGTGCAAACAAGCGCGGAAGAGGCTCAAATTTGCGGCTGGCCTCCTTCACAGGCTACTCCGGAATGGTTTGTCGGTCAGTTGCTTCGCAGGCTGGCTTGAGCTCTTGTTAGTGGAACGTGGGGTCATCGCAGGTACCTCCTACTCGCCTGGACACTAATATCTGGCCGCCCGCACCGCTGGAATCGGGCAGCTTTCAAACAGGCTATGGCCCTGTCCCATCGCTGGTGCCGGGCCATTCACAACCTCGGGCGCCTGTTTGAGCTTGAATGTCTTCTTTGCTTCTTCTTCCACCGACAGATGAATCGACATCTTGTTCATCGTTGCTGTGCACCGTCGCTGTTCACTGTGTTGCTTGGCTTCTGCGGCTTAAAACAGGTGACAACGTCTACCAGCCGCCGGCCAGAAGCAACGACCGCCTTCCCCCCCACGATACCGATTCTCCAATCACAAGCTCCTGACTGTACAAAGATCCTGGGATAAGGCCTGCGCCAAAACCTGGCCACACCGGGGTTCGGTTTCAAACCACTTGCGCGCCGCCAGCTCTCAATCCAACCTGCGGTGTCATGCACATCACTGCCGTCATCACCCCGAGACCATGACCCTCTGTGCATTGACTTTGCCGGACCAGACGCCATCGTCACTCGAATATTCATGCACAGTACAGTCCTCGTTTTCCATCGCAAACCTAAACCTCGCCGTCCCGTGGTATAATCGATCCGACATCCTTTATCGTTTTCACCAACCTCTATTACCATTGCCGTACCCTCCACCATCCTCGACTTCGACGCCATAGCAATCCGTCTTGCTACTCTGCTGACCTTGCCACGGCCACGAGTGGCTCTCTCTGTCCCAGAGGCGCCGTAGCGCCTCGCACGACAGCCAGCCATGGCCACTTCCAATGCCGTGCCGGATACACAACTGGGACTCAGCGCCGAAGAGATTCAGCTGCTTCGGCAAGGCCAGGCGGCTTTGGGAGGCGGCGGAGGTTCGGCAAGCTCTAGGGCAGCCAGCAGAGCCAGCAGCCAAGGTCTCTTGATGCTGGATAGCTCATCGCTATCAGCCCTGGGGCGATATTTTGATCGATTGATGGCCGGCATCGAGCAGAACATCCGCCATCTCAGTGAACAAGCCCAAATGTTCACACAGGTTCAATACGACCGAGCCGGCAACATCATTGACGGCGCCGATGCCGAAATTGCACGATATATGGACATCTTGCGGCAGCTTGATGAACTCGAGGTCGATTTCGACAGGATAGCCCATATCAAGGAGATTGTCAAGGGATACAGATCAAGGGTCGAAACGCTAGAGAGAGATTTGGAGAGTAGCGGTGGCTCGTCAAGCCGACACAAACATTCACCTACACATCACCACAAGCACAAGCACAGTTCGTCTCGCCATAAATAATGCTGGACGCCAATGCCACCACGTTTCCTTCATTTCCTTCTTTCTTTCTTTTCACCCTCCTCTCCCTCTTTCCCTTTTTCATCTTCGCCCGGCTAGAGCGACCTGCGGCCAGCAGTCTTACGGGCCAATTATGTGGATAACATTTACACGCTGTACGAGGGAGAATTGGAAGCTTGCCGTAGGAGGCGAGCCCATCGACACAAAAAGATATTTTGCAGGATTACCAATGGAAAGGAAATATGACATTGCAAAAGGAAAGAAAAAAAAAAGTTTGTCTTCTTCAGGCGCCCTAGCAGGCACGGTTTAGGGAGGAGTTGTATCATTCTCGAGGCTGCGGGATTACGGCAACGGAAGTTCCTTAAAGATGGATGAGGCCTCGCGGCTAGGCAAGAAGGGAAAAAGCCTCACGGCTCGTCGATTTAGTTTATCAGTTTGGGTCATTGTTGGTTATGGCGTTGAATTGTGTGCATTTGATTCATTTCAATGTTTTTACCTTTTCTATTTTCACTTTTTCTTGTCTTTTTTACCCAATTGTCGGCTACATTGTAGCCTATGCTGCCACAGACGCAACCTGTCTTTTTCTTTTCCTTCCATGTTTTTCTTCTCTTCTATCTGGGATACGGGGGGAGCTGGGGATACCAGGTCAATGTTTGTTGAAAACGAATTTGTTCACCAGGGAGCGGAGAAGAAACATGATTTGTTATATTTCATGCGATACCGGGGATACGGCGTACGCGGTCACGTTGCGATTTGTTTCTTATACCCTTGAGAAAGATGCGGAAAGATTGTGTTTTCCCGTCAGGCGTCGACAGAAGGAGAGGCACCGACCTGCCTTGGTCAGGCAGCGAGCAGCCTAGACGGACGGTGTTTGGAATTGCGCAAGCGAGCGCTTGGCTACGTCGATGCAATGCATTCATCCCCTCCCGTGGAGAGGCGAGGCGAGGCGAGGCGGTATGCATCAAGACGCAGCGGCGTATTGTTTAGTCAACTATTAGTATTATTTAAGACGTAATGTGAGCTGGCGCATCTACAAAGGCGCCAGCCATAATCAGCTTCCTCTTCTCTTGGTCTTGCCCCCTCCCTTCTGCCGTCTGTCAATTTCGGTGTAGACCGGGTTGCTGGTTGGTTGTGGAGAGTCCCGTCACCGCATCAATGGCTGCATAATCACTTAAGCCGATCCAATGGATTAAAAAAGATGATTTCATTTACTCCGTCTAACTGGAGCTGGGCAGCTGGCTAGAGTGAGTGGAGAGATATTCGGAGACGTCTTGATTGGACGCAAATGGGCATATCAGAGCGTTTTGGTTCGTGGATTGTGCCTTTGTCTTTGGAGGGGGAGAGAGGAGGTCCAAGATATCGTCTGTGATGCAGTGACGGAGGAGGATTCATCATTTATCGTATGCTTTTTATATGGTTTGCGTTGCTAATCTAACGGTGCTCTAGATCATGGCATGAGACGCATGCTCTCTATCTTCTATGCTTCGACTTCGACGCTGCATAAGTGGACCGAGGCCGACCTATGGCAAAAGGGATATCTATCGTCCAGTCGTCTTTCACTCCGCGCAATATCGCACATGATCCGATACAAACGCAATTACAGCAAAAAGAAATCTCATCCGCGAGAGAAGGAGTAGTAATGTTCCTTCTCCCAAGCGCCCAATCGTACACGCCAAACTCAAATCATAAACACGCAGACACATGACATCACGAGCAGCACTCCGTAGTTCTGAAATATCGTTATTGGTCTTGTGGTTGGTCATATGTAATCATCTCTCTCCATCTCTCCCAAAAACGCCTTAAAACCAAAGGCCAAGCCAAAACAGCAAAAGACCCAAGTCCAAGACCAACCAAAAAAAAAAAAAAGATACCAGCCAACCCAGGCCAGCTTAAATAAAAAATCCTCATCCCACACGCCACATTTCTTCATAACAGTGAAACAATAAAAGAACACAAACACAAAATACATGACAAGAAAGGAAGAAAAAAAGGAGGGGCGAAAAGAAGAGAAAGGGAAAAGAACTCCATCCCGTTGGGGATGTGCTGTCTGCTGAATGACTTCCGCATCTATTGCTTCCTCCCCAAATTCCCGCTGTAAGAAAAAGACCGAGTTCAAGCTCAAGAGCTCTGCTGTGCTCCCCATCTGACTCGTCTTTCACGCTCACCTCTCCCCCATTGAGAGAATGCCAAGAAAGAACATATCCGTCAATATAAACAAAAAAAAAAAAGAGACAAAAGGGGGGAAACAGAGATGATGATTAAACGAATTTAACACACGAGCAACGCAACTCGTGCTGAATGCTAGTTCTTAGCATGTTGAATGTTCCATGCAAAGAAAAAAAAGTCGGAAAATGAGGTTCGCCCCGAAGTGTTGCTGCCCAGCCATGTTCTGACAAGAAAAGCAAAAAAAACAGCTAGAATCAAATGGTGTAGAAAGAGGTACAATGTATGGTATCCATATGTATGTGGTTTCTTGGTGGTATAATGTCGGTGATCAATCGATGTTATGCAATTTTTGATGCCATGCATGAATGAGATGAAGTTGCACAGCAGCAAGCCCTCGAAAAGCAAAAAAAGGGGGGCCGCCGTTGCAGAGCATATTTCTTTGAAAAGGGAGCCAAAACACCAGTTTGCCAAACTCCCCAAAGGAAAGCAAGCTTCTTTTTTTTCTGGTTTCTCTTTTTACTTTCTTCTTGTTTCCTCGTCTTCCCCTCCAACTTTCACCGCCAAAAGGCCTCCTAAACCCTCGCAATGCGGCGCCGGTCCAGGAACGGACTCGGCATCTCGTCCACATCCGGGTTCCACACGGCCACCGGCTCGGCGTATCCGGAGCTGACCACGCGCTCCCGGTATGCCGAGGTTCTGGATCTCTTAGGACTCACGTTCTCGCCCACCGGTGCGCTCGAGACGCTCATGGGCCGGCCTCCTGCGCGCGCCTGCTGCAACTCGACGAGCGTCCGGCCCTTAAGGTTGCTCTTAGTCGCCTTGCTGAGCGTATCGGATGCGTCCTTCCTAGAGGACAACTTGCGAGAATGGCCCAACAACGACGACGACGACGATGACGATATCGGCGAGGGAGTGTTAGTCTCGCTAGCCGTATTTTGCAGCCCCAGGTTCGCGACGGAAGGAATCTTAGTCAACCGGCTGGCTGGAGATCGCGTGCGGCTGCTCGTCTGCGCCGGTGGCACAACAGCCTGCTTGGACACGAAGCCGCTCGAGCTGGCGCCGCTGGTCTTAATGCGGGCGGCAACACTCGACGTCTTCTGTGAGCTCAAACTAAGGATCGGTCGGTTCTTGCTGGTGAAGGGATTCCTAGAGGACCTGTGTCGCGTCGGTGAGGGCGGCGTGATATCTTCGTCGTCCGAATCCAGGCTGGCGCCCTCTCTCTCCCACTTCTCGGGATTGGATGTCGTCGTCGCATTCGCAATAAAGATATTACCTTGATGCGTTCGCGCCTTCGTGTTTCCGTGGCGGCGTGGGGATAGTGACAGCGTTGCGATGGCCATGGCGCCAGGTGAAGTCATCTCAATGTCCATAGGGGTGCTCACTTGGCCGGCGAACGTCTGCGCTCTGGTATATGGCGTCCGTGCCGTCCGCTTGATTTCCTTGCTGGTGTCGGGGCTCTCATTTGAGTAAGAGAGCTCGGTGATGTCGGTGGTGGAAGGGAACTCGTCGCCGCTTCCATCGGCAGAGGACGTGTGCGCGTGTTCCGATTTTGCAGGGGGAGAATCGGCCTGAACTGGAACCTGAACTGGAACCTGAACTTGAACTTGTCTTGTCGGCGGCGACGGAGTCCTCTTACGGCGGCTCTGCAGCTCTCTCTCCACGTGTTTCCTGACTTCTTCATCAAACTGCTTCTTGAGCTTCTCCACCTCGATACTAATGTGGCGGTCGATTTCTAGCCGGGCCTTGACTTCCCACTCTCTTCGAATAGACGCATCAAGCTCCTCTCGTATCAGGTGCTTGTCCTTGTCCAGGTTCACCAGTCTCAAGTTCAGCTCCGTCTCCTTTTCGCGGAGAATCTCCTCGCGCGCCTTGAGCGCCTTGTTCAGGTCAACCACCTCTTTCTCTTTCCGCATGAGTCTCACAACCGGCAAGTTCAGCAGCTGCGCAGTGTCCGGTCTCCTATCCGGGTTGACTTTCAGGCAGTCCTTGATGACTTGGTTGAGTTCGGGAGAGTACATGTCTGGTAGGGGGTTGATTTTGCCGTCTTTGATCTTCTGGACCAGCTGGTAGTGCGACTTTGCGTTGAAGGGCGGCTCGCGAGCGCAGAGCTCGTAGATGATGCACCCCAGCGACCAAATATCGGACTTGAGAGTGTATTTTTCGGCGGCGCAAATCTCGGGCGACATGTAGAACGGGGTACCGACGTAGGTGGAAGCGAAATCTTGCGACTTGATCATCTTGGACAGGCCAAAGTCGCCCAGCTTAACGGAATTGTCCTCACCGAGGAAGACTGTAGACAGAGAGTCGGGTCAGTTTGTTTTCGCCAAAACATAACACCAGGCAATTCTCCCAGCGAGGATGCGCAATGTTTAAAACTCTTACTGTTTTCAGGTTTCAAGTCTCGGTGTAGAATCGTTATAGCTCCGGCTGGTGTCTTGGGAGCCATTCCGGCCGCCGCGCCCAAGACATTGCCGCCGACCTCCGGAGGGTCGATGCCGTAATGACAGCGATACAGGGCCAGAACCAGCTGGCTAAAGATGCTCCAGACGAAGCTCTCCTGGGCTCTCTGGCCCTTCAACTGCAGGTCCTTGATGACGCGGCCCAGATCGCCGTTGCCGCAGTATTCCATGTATAGATGCAGGTCCTGGCTCGCCTTGAGGTGCTCGCGGTGGTAGTATGCGACGATGTGCGGGTGTCGGAGATGGGACAGGATCTGGAACTCGGCGTGGAGCTGCTCGCGCTCCTTTTGCGACATGCGAAGGTACGAGATTTCCTTGCGGCACATGATGAAGCCGTCGGCCTTGCGGCGGACTTTGCGGATGATGCCAAAGGAGCCATGGCCTGGAGAGGGGGGAGAAAGGCGCCGCCAATGTTTTAGCTGGCAACGAACTCAAAAAAAAAAAAAAAAAAAGACATGCCGCTTCTGTTTTGAACTCACCAATCTTCTCCAGCGTCTCGTACTTGTCCTCGTACGACATGTTGAGGGGCTTTCACGGCGGTACCAACGATGCTTGTCTGCTTCCGAGCCCCATAAAGGAACCTGTTTCCGACTTTGCAGCCAGGGAAGAGAAAGAGGACGAAGGAGGAGGGGGGAGAGGGAGGGGCGTCAGACAAGGTTAAGAGGATATATAAAAGACGACCAAAAAATAAAATGTATATCCTGTGTCTCTCCTCGGGGGCTTGTCAGAGTTCGTACCAAAGCCAAAAAAGAAAAACACTAGGAGGAAAAGCTTGTTCTGGTGATGCTGCTTCGGAGGAGGAGAAAAAAAGTGTGAATGTCGGAAAGGTAATACAATGGACAGAGAGAGCAACGGCTCAGCACCTAAATGGGGCGGGCCCTGATGGCTTTGTTAGCAAGAAAAAACCGGCTCCAAGCCCAAAGCAGTGCGTGCGTTTCCACCTTTGTGCTGCTGTTGCTGCTGGCTGCGGCAGACGGACGACCAGTTGCTGCGATGCGGCCAAAAGGGACCCTTGCTCCGCCAATTCGCAGGCCGCTAAGCAGCTAAAACGGGGATGTTGGTGCAGGATGGATGTAAACAAATCGTGCGGCTGCCATGGCAACGGGCCGAAAAGGGAAGTGCCGGGGTGTATCCGCTTATCGATAGGGACTTGGGGAGCAACCCGTGGTGCCGTTGGCCGTCAAAAAACGTTGTGGCTTGGCGTGTGACGTGTGATGCAAAAGTCAATGTGTCATTTGGTGGCGTCTTTTCTTTTTCTTTTCTTTTTCTTTTTTGTTGCAGCTGACGTTTGATTGACATTCTGTCGTTTGCTGTAGCGGTCAAGAGCAAAAAAGCTGCAGACATCGGCCTTGAGTTTAGGGTAACTGCTAGTCTCATGTAGAACAACACACTTATTACTGTACATGACACTGTATGTACAAGGTGCACTTAGTAAGACGGAGCTTTTGCAAAACAGATAATCCGGAGCAATCAAGGTAAAAGACAGATCTATGACATTGATGACATCCATTGCCTGAATGACGCTGTACAAAAAGCCCGGAGTAATAGCACGGGCGGGCCCGCGATGGCAGTTCCGGTGACATGCTCAAAACCCGATAAGCGGCAAAGTTATCTCCGTAAGACGGCCTTTACATAATCCATCCATCCAATCTTTTTTCTCATTTCATTCTCTGTATACCCTCATAATAGCGACATTATTTCTAAGTTTTATTTTCCCTTGTGTCTTCTTTCTTATCTTGGAGTTGGGAATACTACATCATACAATGGTGCTGGGAAAGCATGAGCTCGAGGGCAAGCTGGGCGAGGAGAGCCTCCTGATCAAGAGCGGCGTGCTGCGGGACGAGAACCCGCTCGACACGAGTGCAGAGTTTCATGATTTCCTGCTGGCGTGCCGCCGGGGCGATTTGCGCAAGTGCCAGGAGCTCATTGGCATGGGCGTCAACATCAACGGCAAGGACAAGTTTGATTACACGCCCTTGATCATTGTGAGTGCTTTGCTGTGGCGAGGGGCAATGGCGGGGTTGGGAGTTGACGAGAGAATCTATGTAGGCCAGTTTGTGTGGGCATTATGAGCTGGTTCAGCTGTTGCTAGAATCCGGTATGTTATCCATTGCTTACATCTTGTCCTATACCGGGTTTATCAAGTTGGACGTTGCACAAAAGAGCATCCTGTTAAACCAAAACCCTCATGTATAGGCGCCCTCGCCGAGAGAAACACATTCCAGGGAGAGCGCTGCATATACAACGCCCTCAACGACAGAATCCGCAACCTGCTGCTGCAGTATGACTTCTCCAAGAGCTCAGATCCATACGTCTACTGGTCATCACACATTTCTACCCTGTTGGGCCGTCCGGCTCCCAACACGACGGACATCTCGCTGGATGCCGAGACCAAGTCTTTCAACCTGCACAAGTTCTTGCTTGCATCCAGGACGCCCTACTTTCGCAGGAAACTCGAGGCAGCTCCGGAAACAGCATCATGGAAAGTATCGTCGACTATTCCCGTAGAGGCATTCCAGATTGCCGTTCGGTATATTTACTTGGGTGAAGTACCGAGGGATCTTGCTCCTCCAGGTAGCACTGCAACCGAGGAGGAGGTTGCCAAGGGCCTGGATAAGATCAGCAAGCTGCTCGAGATTGAACAGCTATGGGAAGCCATCCTGGTGGGAAATGACCGTCGATTGGCACGGCAGCGGTATCAAGACGAGGTCGAGAGGGCGTTAAACCAACTGGGCAATTTCTTCCAGGAGAGCGTCTTGGCGCACAAGATGGTCGTCGACACAGACCGTGTCGACGAAGTCCGGTGGAAGCACGACAACTCCATCTTCGCAGACATTCTCCTGCGAGCAGACGAAGCTGCCGGCGAAGAATCCGATGGCGTCCCTGCCGACTCAACCTCCGGATACACCACCGCCGCCGGCATCCCCATCGGCCCCTCCTCCTCCTCCTCCCAGACCAACGGCGCGAAGAAGGCGAGGAAATCCGTCCTGTATCCCGCCCACAAGGCCATGCTCATCCGCAGCGAGTACTTTGACAAGATGTTCTCGGGCGACTTTGTCGAGTCGCAAAAGGCGGAGCACCTGCATGTCATTACTGTAGATTGTACGCCCGCCGTGCTGGAGCTCATCCTGTCCTTTTTATACACCGAAAACGCCCCGTGTCCGCTCGAGCACGCGCTTGATCTGCTCTACGCCGCCGACATGCTCTTCCTCGACAGTCTCAAGAACAAGGCCGCCATCGCCATCAGCACTCTCGGCAGCGGCACCGCAAACGCCCTCATCGACCGCACACACAACATCACCAGCGAAGGAAACGCAACAACAACAGAAGAATCAGTAGAAGTCGAAGTAGAGCCCATCAACATCTACGACGTCATCCACGCAGCGTGGGATTTGCGCGTCCAGCGCCTCGAAGAGTTCGCCGCACGGTACCTCGCCCAGCGCCTCGAGGACTACATCGACGAGCCCGACTTCCACGAGCTCATCCGCGAGAGCGCAGACCGCATCACCAAGCGTGAAGAGACGGACACCATCGAGCTGCTCGACGACATCCGGTATTACCTCTCCGAGCGCTTCCGGCTGCGCTTCGAAGACGCCGGCCTGGAGGAGATGATGGACGAGGACGGCGAGATTAGCGCCCAGATGGTGGCTGCGCTGGCCAACGGCTCGGCGGACGTCGTTGATGGCACTGTTGCTGCTGCTGCTGCTGCCGTTGCTGAGCTTGACTTGAAGGAGAGTGAGGCTAACGGTGTGAAGAAGGGTGAGAGCATCGAGGTTAATGGAGCGAAGAAGAGTGAGAATGGCGAGGTTGAGGGAGGGAACGAAGCGGTGCGAACGTTGGATGGTGAGACGGCCGAGGATGAGTTTGCCTCGGATGCCATCAATTACCAGATTTTGCTTCAAAAGATTGATGCCATGTTGGAAAGATTGAAACTGGATGCATGAGTGGATGATATATATGGGTATATTGAGATTAAAACGATGTTACATACAAAATACACACGTATACAGGCGGCACTTATAGCATTTTGAAATACATTTATACAGACTCGCTAGCTTTACTCCTATTTGCTTCTAATTGTACAATACTAGATAGAATCTGCACACAACGAACGATTCAAGTCAACTGCAAAGCATCAGAAACAAATCAAATCACCAAATATCAAACATACATGAAATCTGGCTGCAACGCTCAAAGGTACTTGACAATCTTGATCCTCGCCCGCAGTGCCTCCGGCAGCTCCTCCAGCTTAACAAGCCCCAGCTGCACAACATCTCCCCAGAAAAACATGGCCCGGTCCTGGGCATAGCTCAAGTAGTCGAATTCGTCCGCACCAGGTTCCTCTTCAGCAGGGGTCCCATCCAGACCTGGTACCTTGGCTTGCACGATACCCCACGCAATCCACTGGGCGCTGTTCGCCGGCTGCCAGAGCCGGGCTTCCTCGATGAGCTCTCGCACTTGCTGCTCGGCCTGTTCCTCGCGCGCCTTTTCGACTGCGCCCCAGTCACCACCAGGGTAGCGAGCATCCAGCATAAAGTCGACAATGGAGCTGCTGGACGTCGTCGGCAGAAGCGATGGCGTAGCTGCGGCGCTGGGAGTGTCGAGTGGTGTCAGTCGGGGCGTCGAGCTGGCCTGCGGGAACTGCGGCCGATGGTCCACGTATGCCCTGATGAAGCGCTTCTGCTCCTCAAGGCTTGGGTAACGATCGGCGTGGCAGGCAAAGGGAATCACTGGATCGTGGTAGTTGTACATCCATTCCGTGAAATGGTTGGCAAACTCGAGTCCGGCGGTGTTGGGAGCTGCGTATTCAAAATCAATGACGACAAGTTGTTTGTGCTTGTTTGCAGGCTGCAGAAGCGGCGACTTTTCGTCATCAGGACGAATCCTAAGAATGTTGCCGTATTGAGTCTAAAAAAGTGTTAGCTTCTGATAAAAGATCAAACGGTGCAAAGGAGGTGCTCACATCGTTGTGCGCAAACACAAGCCTGTCCTTGATGGCCCGGTGACCCTTGTAGCAGTTGTTCAGATGGGCCCTGTACTTGATCACAACCTCTTTAAACTGCTCCCAGGGAACACCACACACATAACCATTGATTTTCCAGGCATGAGCAATTGAGTTTCTCCTCTCGGCTTCTGGCGTCTTCTCAAGCTCCTTGTCCAAGAAACTGGTGATGCGGCCGACATTATCCAGCCACTGATCCCAGTTCTTCCACACACCAGGCCCATTCTCACGTTCGTGCAAGAGCACTTCAACACCGTCGTGCAGCTCCCTCATACGCTTCGCAATCTGCCTCGAGGTTTCAGGCTCTCGCAGGTTCAGCGGAGTGAGCGTGATGGCATTGAAGAACTGCTCGAAGCGTCCATTCTTGAAGGTTCCCAGAAGTCGTGGGCCAATCTTCTTGCGCGCGAGTCGCTGCAATACCTGGAGCTCATTCTCTCGGTCGATAAGATGCTCCACCTGCGGTCCATACACGCGAAGCAGCACCTTTGTCGGCGGCTTCCTGCCGTCGGCCTGGGGCAGATCAGCCGGGGGAGTGACGACATATACGGCGTTGGTCAATGCGCCGCTCAATCGCTCAACGGCCATGGATTCGCCGCTGCCGAGGGGGATACGGCGCCACCCTTTAAGCCTCAAGGTGTGGGCTATGCGTAGAATCTCGTTCTTGAAAACAGTCCATGCTTCTTTCTCCTTTTCGGCCTTGGTCGCCTGAGCTGATACATCATCCGTGCTGATGCTGGCTCCGCCGGTGTAGCTCATTGTCTTGGAATTGTCTAGCCAAGCATCGCAGCTAGGTACGATGGCGTCACCGTCGACATAATCGGTATCCGAAGAGGCAGTACGGTGAAGAGCCGAGCGCGAACCCGGTCGTCGGTGCTTGGGGCCAACTCGTGGGCTGTACTTTGGAAGCGTAGTAAGCCCCATGGAAGCCATGGAACTCTCCAGGATATGCTGCAAGCCATCGAAGGAGATGTCGCTGGATTGCGAGCTTGTGGAATTCGATCTTTCGCGCGTAGGGGGGATAGGAGCCGTAGAAGCTGCACCGGCCTCGGCTTGTGCCTGGTCGGACGGGGGAGACTTGGACTTGCGCCGACGAGGCTTCTGTTTCCTAGCCACTGCCTTCTTGCGCTCTCGCTCCAGCCATTCTCCAACCTGGGCCAGAATCCTCTCGCTCTGGTGGTTTCGGCGGTGGCTATGACTATGATGGTGAGACGAGAGAGCCGTATCGTCCACAGGTCGAATCGCTGGCGAAGCAGTTGCAGACAGTCTGCCGCTCAATCGGCGAGCGGGAGCCGCTGGACGGCGTTGCTTGCCATGGTGCGAATCGTCTTCGATATAGTCCTCGGGGACAGGATCGGCAATCTGCACGGCTGTGAAGAGTGTAAGCCCAGGCTCGGTACCTCATTCCACATTTTCTTATTCCAGTATTTTACCTCATCGGCCGATGGCAACACGACGAGAAGCGCACGAAGGAGATCGACGACCGGGACAGCAAAAGACGTCGACATGTCGTTTCACCCCACCAGCTGAACCCCGCTACAACAGGCGAAATTATCGTCACCGAAGCAATATGGCAGACGCTCGATCATTGCGGAAAGCATTGTCCAGTTCGCGGTGGGAGTTTCGCAGTCGTAGAGTAAAGTCGATATAGCCTCCTTCGGCGTCATTGGCTTGGAAATAGTTCACTCATACGTACCTTTCAGAGTGCCGCTGGCAGGCGGAGTTCGCACCGCTTCGTCGTCCATCTTGAGAGCCGAGCGCAACGGCGCCGGATGATGGGTTGGGGTTTCAGACATTTGCGTCAGACAATGCGAGGTTTCTTCTTTGTGGCGGACAGGAATGTTGCAGTTCTCAAGTGTTGTGAACAAAGGCGCAAAAGAGTTGGCGTGGGGGTTCCAGGCGCTTCAAGACGGCTCAACAAAAAAAGAAAAGTCGCTAGTAGAGAGTGTCGCGTGGAAACAAAAGCCGGTTCCAGAATCAATATCCACTAATATTGTCGACAGAACTTCGCTTAGCGACAGAAAGATGGGGAAAGGTAAAAGAAAGAACTGTGTCCAAGTGAGAGATAAGAAAGACAAAGTGAAGGAAAAAAGAATGAGAGCGTCGAAAAACAGGAAGGGATCTGGGGAAGGACAAAAGCAGCCCTCGTGACCCCAGTCAAGACTCTGGGCTGTGACAAGGTGCTACTAGTCCTGAGTGAACGCCACGCTGTTTTTTCGTGCTAGCAAAACAAGCCCAGGAGGAAAAAACAGGCCGTGCTGAGTTGTGATAAGGGATTGAACTAGGCTGGGCTGTTGGAGGGATCGCACAAGGCTAACCAAGAAAAAGACCGGGAGAGCAACGAAGAGGTGTCGACGTAACAGCTGTATGACGTAGCAGCAGGAGGTGGCTTTGGGCTCTAGACTGTGCTGATCCTATTTTGATTTCCATGTCTATTGTACTTTTTCTAATGCTGATACTGGACCCTTTCAAGGGGATTCACAAGGTTCAAGCCAAGGGGACTCGCGGCCCGTCGCGCTGCACTGACAAGGTGTCTTTTGGCCTGTCGTTGGCGGACATGGACGGCCAGACATGTGATGAGCCTTCTATTCTCTCCACTCCAGCAAACTACCCAAGGCTAGCAAACCTCCACTCACTCATTCAGCCAAACGAACGAACGCTTCCCCCCTTGCCTTATCCTATCTTGTCCTCCTGTATCCCATCCAATCCTCATTCTCCATCCCCTATGTACTACATACTCGCCCTGGATGTAGCTGAGAGCCTGCATGCTACATTGCATTGCCACACATACACAAACATGGACAGGCACACATACGATAGTCTAGATATCCCCCCTGAAGAGAGAGCCATCCCCCCGTCTCTCGGTCGCCGCATGAGGAAATCCCAAGCGTGCTCCAAAGGGCTGAGGGCCTTTTCCCAGCCCACTTTTCCCTCGTGTGCTCGCGTGCGCACTTTCTAGTCGCATACTTGTACGAATCCATTGGCTCTATTTTGGCTCTATTGGCTCTATCCGACGCAAACTCTAGCCACTCAGGTCGCTGCCCGAAATGAAGTGAGACAACAAAAAATTGAACAAAGGAATCACACATAGCACAGACTCATCTAGACCCAATCCTCGCTCGCCAGCCACTCCCTCGTCACCTCCACTCCCTCATTCCTCATGGCCCACGCAATCGCCTCAACCACATCGTCCACAATCACCGTCGGCTTGTACCTCGGCTCTCTCTCCGCCGCAGTCTCTTTCCACACGCCAGTCTTGACCAAGATCGAAATCCACTCCGTCCCGTCCGCCGGCGCAAACTCGTTGGCGCCCCGGATGTCACTCTCTGGGTTGTCGCCAATCATGTAAACCCGCCTCAGCGGCTTCTTCTCCTCGCCCTTGCCGTGCGGCTCCTCGGGCGCGTGGTGAAGCAGCCGGTCGTGTGCGTACTCGTAAGTGTGTCTCGACGGCTTGCCCAAGGCGCTGAACTGCAGCTCGGCGCCGCCCGTCGATGCGGCCCACACGCCCTTTAGCGCTTCGACAAACGCGCCTGTTCCGAAGCGGTTGACGGGGTACTCCGTCTTCCACAAGAGGTCCAGGTTGGAGATCCAGAGCTGTGGCTGGCCGTCCTGCTGCCATCCGTTGTTGGGGAGCTGGGCGTTGCCGTTCTTGTCGGAAATCGTGCCTAGATAACCGCGATGCGAGATGAGCAGATCGTGGATCACCTGAATGTCCAGGGACCAATCCCTCGGGTCGTTCCAGACAAGGATCTGGTCAATCTTGAGCTGGTTCGCCGGCACGTCCTTGCTGTAGGGGTCAATGGTATTCGATACAATCTTGCCATCAGGAAGCGGCCGCGACTCTCTGTGAAGGCTCTCTCGCAGGTTGTCAAACGGATACACCTTGTCGTTGGCTTCGATGATGTCTGCTGGTGTCACGGCCCTGGCAAATCCGTATCTTACACAAGTCCCATGTCAGTGTTTCTCGCCAAGACGTTGCAGAGGGCATGGGGTTTACACCGACTCGTTGGCTACCCTGCGAGCAATCTCTGGGTGAGATCCCGTAATCAGCACTGTTCCCTGCTTCTTGACGCTCTCATCCCACCCTCGCATCGGCGTGTGCGAGAGGATGACCCTGTTGCGGATCACATCCTCGTCTTCCGAGAGTCCCAGACGTTTAGATAGTGATTTGAACTTGGCATCTTCGTGACTGCCGCCGCCGTTGGTCAGGAAGACGTAGCGGATGTCGTGCGATCTAATCTTCCTGAGCATCTCCTTGGCTCCTGGAATCGCCCTTGAACCCTGATACAAGACTCCATCGATACTGTGGTTTTGGCGCTCTTAGTCATTATATGCGCCCTCTTTGGATAGCTTCAACCAACGTACTCAAAGGCAAAGGCAATCTCGGATAAAGCTTTGCGTGAAGTATCATCCACAGGACCCTGTTGAAAGGACTGAGAAGGCGAATTCACTTTCTCTTGCAGAAATGCCGCCGCATGGAATCCTCGCCTACTGGTGCTCGCTCGAGTTGCACTGGCGCTGAAGCTGTTGAAAGCTGGCCATGGCTGAGTGATGAGGCCGAGTCGTGATACGGGCGCCGGCCGGCATCGGCCCAAAACCCGTGCGCGCGACATTTGGTAAGATGAAACCTTTTGGCCTTGATCGTCGTGATACCGCCAATCGATCCTAGAGGCCTCGGTGCGATTGCGCCAGAAGACGACGCTGTGACTGTCGAGATACAAGTATGCGGGAGCAAGTTCATGTGGCCGTTGAGTCGCAGGGCGCCGATACTGGCCGGGATCCGTATCTCCACTATCTTAGGCGGCGTCCTCCGCTACAACCGCAACTAGAAGGCGACCAAATCAACACAGGTCAACTGCGCGTAGACTTGCAGTTTTAGTTTTCCATGAATGTTCAATCTTGTCACAAAAAAAAGGCGAATAGGGACAAACGGGCCATAACATTATGCGATACGTTCATTATGTCAAAATTGAGTGGTTCATTGCTTCTTGAGCATCCATCCGTCTATGGCTTAATGGTACACTACTGTTACAAACAAGTCATTTTACACTGCGCTTCTCGTCTCCGCAACAGCGACAAGCTCAGTGGCTGTTCTTCCAGTCCTTCAAATGGTCAACAATCACCTGTGCCGCCTGTTCCGGCGAGTGTTGTCGCCCCAGTGCCTCTACGAAATCGCCCTCTGGGTCCATCAGGTAAAAGTATATGCTGTGGTCAACCAAGTAATCCTGACCCGGCTTCACATCTCGCGGCGTGCTGAAATACACCCTATACTTCTTGCACAGATCCTTGATTTGGTCGTATGTTCCCGTCAGGCCGATGAATTTGGGGTGGAACTCGGCGAGGTAGCTCTTGAGCGCCGGAGGATCGTCGCGGGCTGGGTCGCACGTCACAAAGATGGGCAGAAGCTCGTTGTTGGGGATTTTGGCATCGACAATGTCCAGCATGCGGGCCATCTTGTCGAGCTCTTCGGGGCAGATGTCGGGGCAGCGAGTGAATCCAAAATAGACCTGGCCGAGTTAGATTATCCTCCATGAAAAGTAATCGCCTGGTCCCGAAAGCTTGCTTACCAATGAGTGCTTGCCTCTCATCATCTCGCTGGTAAACGTCTTGCCATTCTGATCCGTCAGCTCAAAGGTTCCTCCAACCTTGGGACGGCCGACGCCCTTGGTGGCCTCTGCTATTCTCTTTCGCTGCATGCGCTCCTTCTCATGCTCAAAGTACCACACCAGTCCACCGCAGGTAGCGACAAACAAGATGGCCGCTTTCAACGAGAAAGGCTACCCAACGAGTTAGCACAGCTCATGATTCTACAAAGCTGATCAAAATCCAGCCAAAATCAAAGAGTCTTCCCATACCCCTGTGCTATACCTGCTCTTTGCCTGCTCGATAGTCTTGTATTTCGTTCGCTTCTGTGTAATCGGCTGTCGGGACTGGACCGGCGATCGTGGGAGGACCGGCCGGAGCTGCTTCGGCTGGAATGCGCCGCTCGAGAAGCATCGCCGGCATTGCTGCGCAGGGAGATTCCGCAGGGCGCCCTGAAGGGCCCTTGATGAGGCGATTGAATGCGACATGGTTTCTGCGCCGCAATTGTTGTTCTTGCGCTGTCTTGGTAAAAGGCAAGTTGAAGCTTGCCAAATATCGACAGATGCTGCCCCACCATGCCGCCGTGAGCAAGTTATTGCTTTTTTTGTTTATTAATGCCACTAGCCAGATCCATGTCAAATCGCCGGATATCTGCCGACAGCGCAACGATCCTCCCTTACAGCGGTCCTAGTGACTACACGATGCCACTGAGACGCTTAGTCAGGTACAAATTCCGTCTTTCAGTATGAACGCCTCCTGAATGCAGCTCAACAGTTCCAACCCAAGGCTGTAATTGTGATATCTCATCGTCATAGAGTCTTGTATACTGACCAGGGGAATGACTTGTCTTGTGTGGCCGTGTTAAATCTTTCCTGTATTGTGCCGAAGCTGGGGTAACTCAGCATTTGCTTGTTGGCCGGGGGCAATTTCACTTGCAGCGTTCATGCTCTACTCAAAGCCTTAACAATGGATCCGACGCGGATAAGCACAGGCGCAGACACAGGACCCTACATCATGGAGACGCGATTCGAGCTTATTGATGAGGACATCAAAAGTGAGAGCGCGGTGAATTCGCCCGCTCCACTTCACTCTGATGCCGTCCCAGCCTTCAAATCCTCGACTCCCTTGCCCTCCACAGAAACTGCAGAGACCACAGATCCAGCACCCTCGATGGCAGGCTCAACATCCGCAGCGAAGAAGAAGAAGGGCACAGCCTCTACTGTCAAAAAGCCTTCAAAACGCCCAAAATCCGTACGGGACCCTAAAAAGCCAAAGTCAGTCAGATCGACGGTGGGCAGTGAGGCCAACAGTACCGCGGCGGAGGATGCATCCGACGAAGATGATGAGTCTGACAACGGCCCATACTGCATATGCAGAGGTCCAGACGACCACCGCTGGATGATTTGCTGTGAGAGATGCGAGGATTGGTTCCATGGAGAGTGCGTGCACCTCGCCAAGGATGTTGGAGAGAGCCTCATTGAAAAGTTCATCTGTCCAAACTGCACGACGGACAACTTGATGACAATTTACAAGAAGACATGCACGCTGGGCTCGTGTCGAAAGGCGGCTCGTCTAACACACAGTCCGCCAAGCGTCTTCTGTTCGGATGAGCATGCTCAGATATGGTGGGAGCGCATGCTGAGCAAGTTGCCCAAGGCCAGGACAAAGGCTGCGCTGAGCGACGAACTGTCTCAGGAAGAGTTCATGGCACTGCTAAGTAGCGATCTTGCCACTATTGATGGAGATGGATCGTGGACTTTAAGGGCGCCGTTTTCAGGCAAGCCGTCTGAGATAAATGGGGATGAAACAGGTAAATATTGATGCGCATAGCTTTTGCAGGCTTTTTTCCCTCCATTCCTGCTAACAGCCCTCACAGCAGCTGAAGAGCGTCTTGCTCAGATACTCACAGAAGAAGAGAAGGAATATTTGGACAAAAAGGCAAACGCTCGATTCAAATTAGCAGAGGAAACTCTTCTATGCCAAAAGATGATGACACTGGTCGAAATGGTCCAGGAACGCCGCCGAGCAGCCATCAGCGCCGGCCGAATCGGTGAGGACATATGCGGCTACGACAACAGACTAGACTCTATTTGTGCGCGAGACGCCTTTGCTGCCTTTGTCAAGTCTCCCGAAGGTGAGGTCATCTTCCAAGCGTCAAAGGTCGACGACCCGCTTGGAGAAGGCGACGAGGTCAGGGGCATGTGCGAGCGGAAGCGATGCAAGATTCACAGTGGCTGGCATAAGATGCTGCTCCTTGCTGTTAAGCACCAGATCAAGGAGATGGCGGATCAGGCGGCGGAAGTTGGGGAGGATGAGCGAATACTGAGGGAGGCTGCTGAGGAGAGGTGGAGGAGGAGACAGGCTGAGAAGAACTGGGTTGAGGTGATTGAGGATTGAGAATTTGGGTTCAGCAAGAGAACAATTTCTACGGAAGGATATCAAGTCGGGATATAGGAGTTTTGGGCGTTTAAGCAAGGAATCACACAGTTTGATGAAACATCTGTTTCCTGGTCTGCCGGTTGCAGGACAGTCCCATATAGCGTATGATATAAGATGATGTTAGCACAGGCTCATGCCATGTGCAGCTCTCCTACATTTTCCGTTTAATATGTATTCAAATTCACTGCAGAAACATTCCAAGTGTCTATACTTCCTTTCGCTTTTCATCTCAATCAAAACAAAGAATCAGCCCTTTCAGCTGGCATGTAAAACAGCAGCAAGCTTAGAGCTGCTACTAGTGACCACTGAAGGTGAGCACTCACAACTTGGTGGGGTTCCAAGCCAATGGCGGGGGAGGGGTCAAAGGCAAAAAAAAAAAAAAAAAAAAATCCTACCAGCATCAAGAAGCCCGAAGATTTTGCTTATCAAGCAGAAGTGACGTCTTGTTCCAACTGAAGAAACAGCTGATTCTTCTTCCGGAATCCGAGATTCTTCTACTCGTTTTCCTTTTGCCATCAATTTCCTTTCTTTATTTATACCCTCTGTCAAAAGGCGATCGAGCTGTCCTCTCCTTTTGCATCTTTTAATACCTCCCATTCTACTCTTGTCCACCCATCGCATCGCAAAAATGTCTGCTTCTAACCGCCCCGAGGACGAGATTGACGACGACCTCCTCGATGCTGAGGATGTGGGAGAAGAGGTTGCCAACGACGATGACCTCGCCATGGACTCCGACAATGAGGAGCTGATCCTCCAAAACGACTCGATTGCCTTCTTCGACCTGCCCCAAGACTCTCTCTTCACCATCGCGCAACATCCAGTTCACCCTTCGCTGATTGCTGTTGGCGGTTCTGCCGGTGAGGCAGACAATGCTCCTGGAGCTGGCTGGCTTTTTGATGCTTCCGCTGCCCAGTCGCGCCCTGTGCTTCCCGCGAGCTACGCCAGCGATCCTTCTGCCCAGCCTCAGACAACTCAGCTCGAGAGCCTGTATTCTCTACAGGGCCACACAGACTCCATCAATGCCCTAGCCTGGACTCTTCCTCAGGGCGAGGTCCTTGTCAGTGCTGGCCTGGACGGCAGGGTCAAAGCTTGGAAGACGGATGTGCAGCCCTCTACGGGCGTCAAGGTCACTCTCCTCGGAGAGGCGCAAGAGGTCGAAGAGATCAACTGGGTTGCGCCCTGCCCTTCGCCATCAAATCCCAACACCATCGCCCTCGGCGCCAACGACGGTTCCGTCTGGGTCTACACAATCGATCCATCCGACTCCTCCAACCCTCTCCAGATCGTCCAGTCCTACTTCTTGCACACTGCTTCCTGCACAGCCGGAGCTTGGACACCGGATGGACAGCTACTGGCTACCGTTTCCGAGGACGGCAGCTTATACGTCTGGGATGTGTGGGGACTTGCTGCTGCACAGGGCCTTACCAACGACAACGGCCAGACGGCTGTGTCACTGACGCCCGAAGATCAGCGATTCGAGGTCGAGGGTGGTCTATACTCCATTGCCATTGACCCCAAGGGCGCATTCCTCGCTACTGGCGGTGCTGGCGGCGCTATCAAGATCGTCTCTCTTCCCCGTCTCACAGCTGCCGCACCAGCAAGGTCAGCTCGAGGTGGCAAGTCTGCCGCCGACCCGACCACTGGTGGACAGATCTTGGCCTCACTTCACAGCCAAACCGACAGCATCGAGACGATTGCCCTGTCAGTCGCATCAACGAACCCTCCCACTACCCTTTTGGCTGCCGGCTCTGTAGACGGCTCCATCACCGTATTCGACGCAACCCGTCGCTTTGCTATCCGAAAGAACCTTGTCGGTGCTCATGAGGAGCACTCCGTCGTCAAGGTTGAGTTCGTGCCCAACTCATGGCTGCTCACAAGCTGCGGCATGGACGGTGTTGTTCGGCGATGGGATCTGCGAGCCAGCGGTGCAACTGGTGCCCCTGAGGGGGGAGCTTCTGGTTTACTGAAGGAGTGGAGAGGCCACAGGGGCGACGGTGAGGGAGGTGGTGTCTTGGGTTTCGTGCAGGGACAGACTGGCGAGAGATTGGTGACGGCTGGTGACGATGGTGTTTCATTGGTTTTCGAGGCATAAATGAGGTATAGAAGCAATGGTAGAGACGGAGAGTGTATGAATTAAAAATAAGCCTGCCCAGCATCCTGGCAGCTTTGGATACCAGTTTTATTCTTCTTTGGTTATTTCTTCTCCTCATCTTCACAAGTGACATTTATAAGTCGACGAGTGCTTAACCAGTGGTAATCAAGCCGAGTAATAAGCATCCGATTTAGCTTACTGAAGATCCCTGAGCGCCAAAATATGAGCATCATTATTGAAAAACTAAGAACGAATAGCTGTCTATTTTTTTTTCATCTAGTCAGCAAATTGTATATGAGTGCATCTGCCTGCAATATGTCATACATCGCAAAGCTTCCAAGAGCTGATGCCGCCTTATCGATTGTGTCCGGGGTTACTTTGTTCCCACAGCTCCAGAGTGGGGGCTGGCCCAGGCCGGGATTACATACGCTGAGGACGTCAGGCAGGTGCCTCTTGCGTTACCCACAGCAGCCTCGCCAATCACTATCAGACCAACCAACCCTCCCACCCGAGTTGAATCGTTTGCAGAGCATCATCGAGTCGACTTTGGATCTTCAATTCCTGACCGGCGACTCCCAGATCCCGAATACGACACTCACCTCCAACATTTCCTTCTAGCCGCCGAGTCGACGCAGCACGCCACAATGTCCGAGGCAACCCTCAAGCCCGAGAAGGACTTCTCTAAGGAGGTTGACCAGCAGCTCCCAGAGGCTGAAAGCCTGGCCAAGGTACGATTCTCCTTGCTGGAGACGTATCTGTGGCTTGTATAAGTTAACGTGTTTGAGCAGACCAACCTCCAGGGCGCAATCGAGAAGCTTGCCGCTCTTGAGAAGCAAACCCGCCAAGTAAGCCAACTCACACCAGCTCTAGCTTCCAAAGCTCCCCTGACACTTCGATAGGCCTCGGATCTCGCCTCAACATCCCGAATCCTCGTGGCAATCGTCACATTATGCAAAAATGCCGGCGACTGGAGCTTAATGAACGACCAAACGCTGGTCCTGTCGAAGAAGCACAGCCAGCTCAAGCAGGCCATCACCAAGATGGTCCAGACCGTTGTCGGATTCCTCGACGATACTCCCGACCTAAAGACGAAGCTCTCTGTCATTGAGACGCTGCGAACAGTCACTGAAGGCAAAATCTTTGTCGAAGTCGAGCGCGCTCGTGTCACCAAGATCCTCTCCGACATCAAGAAGCAGCAGGGCGACGTCAAGGCAGCCACAGAGATCCTGTGTGAGCTTCAGGTGGAAACTTTTGGCTCCATGGACCGACGAGAGAAGACAGAGTTCATCCTAGCCCAAGTTGCGCTCTGCATTGAGAGTGGTGACTGGACACAGGCGGCCATTCTGGGCCGAAAGATTAGCACAAGATACCTGGCGCGGAAGCCCAAGAAGACGGCCGAGCAGCTGGAAAAGGAACAGAAGGAGCGTGAGAAGAAGAAGGCCCGCGGCGAGGAAGTCCCAGAGGAAAAAGAGGATGATACAACGGATCTAAAGCTGGCCTACTATGAGCAGCAGATTACACTGGCGAAGCATGAAGACAAATACCTGGACGCATGCAAGAACTACCGCCAGGTTCTTGATACTGAGGCTGTCGAAGAAGACGCCGCCAAACTTCGCCCTGTAAGCCTGCGCTTCAGCTCCATTCTAACCCCCTTATTTCAAATACTAATATCTTGCTATGATAGGTTCTCCAACGCATCATCTACTTTGTAATCCTTGCTCCCTACGACAACGAACAACACGACCTCCTTCAGCGCATACACAGAGACTCCCGAAACTCTCAAGTTTCTGAGGATGCTGAGCTTCTCCGGCTCTTTACAGTCCACGAGCTGATGCGGTGGCCCGAAATCGCCAAGAGATTCGGCCCGCATCTGTGCGGCACCGACGTCTTTGACGCTCAGCCCGGACAGTCTGCAGATGAAAAGGCCAACCAGCGGTGGGAGGACTTGCGCAAGCGTGTTATCGAGCACAACGTTCGGGTCATTGCAAAGTACTACACTCGCATCCAGATGAGCCGCCTTACCGAGCTCCTTGACCTTGCGGAGGATGAGACGGAAAAGTACATTAGCGAATTGGTCACCTCCAAGACTGTGTATGCCAAGATTGACCGGCCGGCACGAATCGTCAGCTTCGCCAAGCCTAGAGACGCAGACGATGTCCTGAACGAGTGGAGCCACAACATGAAGAGCTTGCTGGGGCTCCTGGAGAGGATCGACCACCTCATTACCAAGGAGGAGATGATGGCACGCATCCAGCCAACGGGATCTAAATAGACGGCTGATTGGGAGGCAGGGGTCGGCATGGCGCATTGAAAAGGAGCAATATTACAATGAATACTTGCGGGCACGGCTTTGGTGGGGATTTCACAGCTTGTAATGATACAGCTTAGATAGTCCTCGGAAGGAATCTGGGGTTATGTAACGCTTATGCGATGCTTGTGTCTATGTCCTTGTATTTCCATGGTGGCTTGCCTTGCTAAATAAACAAACAAATCACTCTAATAAGTCTAGTCTTCTAGTTCCGTGTCTATCGCTCTATCGCTCAATGATTCCATCTCTTCTCGGCTCCTTCTGCTTCTTTATAAACTCGCCCTCTACTCGGTGGCACTCGCGTGGTTCTTGATAAATCCAGCCAGGGGCATCACCCATTCCTTGGACACAGGGACGTGATGGCCACCAGGATGAACCACAACGAGGGGCTCCTCACACCGATCCACCAATGCCTGGCTCCGACTCTCATCAACGACGGTGTCCAAGCTACCAATGTAGTGAAGTGTCGGTGTCTTAATCTTGGGCTCATAAAGCCACTCCAGATCAGGAATGCCGGCGTAAAAGCCAGAATATGAAATGGCAAACTTGACGGGCTGGCCACCATTCGCCTCTCTTAGCTTCCGAGCCCAGTCTCCCTTGGGACCATCCAAGACAGTCCTCGAGGGCTCTAGAGCGGAAGCAACAAAAGCCGCCATGGCACCGCCCTGACTGAACCCGCAGACACCGTCAATGCCGCCAGCCTCACGAATGGAATCGGCTATAACGGCCATGCCCTCGTCAAAGAGGCGGTACGAGTTGGTGGCGTCGTCTTTGCGGAACCAGCCCCAGGTGTCGGGGAGTTCGTCAGCGGAAGAAGGGGCATCGCCGCCTTGTGATTTGAAGCCGGGGATGTCGGTGGGGAGGAGGCGGTTGGGGCCTGTTGGGTAGGAGAGCACGGGGAGGAGGGAGATTGGGGCGAGGGTTTTGGCGAGGAGTTTTTCCATGGCGCGGGTTTTTGCGCGGAAGAGGGCGCCGGATTGTGTGTAGCCTTTTCATTTTATATCGTGTTAGTGTTTGGGTTTGATGTGAGGGTGGATGAGATATGAGGTGAGATGATGGATGAGTGAAAGACTGTTGAGATAACAGGTATGAAGATGGTTATGAAGGAAGTATGCTTTACTAAGAGGACTGGATAAAGTCGTACATACCGTGAATCATCAATATCTTAACCTCCTTCTTTACGCCATTCTTCTGAGCCTGCTGTTCAGGCCGAGGCGTGCCAATCGGCGTAGACGCTGAAGACATTGCGCGGAGAGTGAAAGCTGATGTGTGGGGGGTATACGATGAAGAACGAAACACAGGAAATAAAGACGGCAGTCTAGATTTGCAAGATTTGAACAAAAAAGATTGCATCTGAAGAGATGTAAGTGAGTGTGTAAGTGGTAAGTGAGCGAGAAGGTGTGAGTTGGGTGACTGTATATCTCAAGTTGGGAGGATTGACTTAGTAATCCGTGGCTGACGAGGGAAAAAACTAGAAGTTCTGTAGCGTAGCGCCGTGTTTGGGATGCCGAGATAAGCTCGGAGGGAGCGACGGATATGTAATTGGCTGGTTTCTATGGCTCTGGATGACAGAGTGATAGAGCTCTATTTTGGTTTATGTTTTGTGTATTTATTATTTTCAATCATGACAATTCGGCTTGTGTTATAGCTTAGTCCAAGCTTGGTGTACGAATTAAAAAATTGAAGCACATCACAGGGTAGCCCCGATATCAAAGCAGGACCTTTCACATAGCTTTGCATTTGCTCCAAGCTGCCCAACACTCGTTTTCTCTCATGACACTTAGGAAACAGCGAAAGGGAGCCCTCGCAACTTTGCAGATTCCAGCACAATACCTGCAATATCACAGCTCATAGCAATTGTTGCTTGTTCATCATAAAGGTCTATTCAGCCCTGAATGCGAGTCTATGATACAATGCAGCGAGACTCTCGCGCTACATGCTCTCGAGCCATCCGAGTATATATCCCTTCCTCCACCAACTTCCTTCGCAATCCATTTTTTCCTTTTTATGCGGTTTAGTGAGCCTTGGGGGCCGCCTTGGCGTTGGGGTTGCGAGGGTCGTTCTTCCACTCGTCGGCTGTGCAAATAGTGTCAGTCATCAGTCAGGTTCCAGCAGGAGACTCGAGGAGGGCGCATACAGGCCATCATGGCGTTCTGGGCAGAGTTGGCGCCATAAGCAATAACCAGGCCTGGGAGATTTTCCATGTTAGTCAAAGGCTTCGTTTTCGCCCACAACCACGATACCAGCAAAGTCCCGGCGCAATCGGCGCATAGTCGACGCAGACATCGTTTCTAAATTGATCGAGGATTGTTCGCAAAAATCACATACCGGCGGCAAAGAAAGGCCAGTACGGCTTCACTACAGGGCGAATTGTCAGTCCCATCATCGTTTTTCAGAGAGGAATTGCCGGCGCGGGGGACGTACGGAAAGGAGCCGGGAACTTCTTGAAGGGGACGACGCCGAACCAAGACATGATGGCGGTATTGCGGAGGTCGTGCGAGGAAGCGGTTGAGTGAGGACGGGGGGTGGACGAAGTTGGCTGGTGAAGTCTTCAAAACGAGCCTTTTTCCCTTTAGTCCAACCAGAGGCTTCGGAGCAGCGATTCCAACGGTAGCCGAACAAGGATGTTCTGCCTAAGGCATTCAATCGACCGGCCGAAAGGTACCTGTTGCGATGTACCCAGCAAAATCACATGAGTAATCACATGATATTTGGATTACCTAAGGTTTGCTCTTTGACTGCTCCACAACACCACTAGTGTGACATCATGTCCCCCAATCCTGCTTTGTGCCTGTTCTTCTCCGCACCGAAAAGCGGAGTGGCACGTCCTCGTAGCTTTCCCCAGGTTTCTTGGACTTGGACTTGTACAGGTAGGTACTCACTCAGAACTCCTTCATTCCTTCGTTGCCGCCATCCAAGCCTCAAGCCTCAAGATCACACAAACAAACACCAGCCATCAACCAGGAATCCCATCTCGCCCAATTGCATCCCCTCTTCTCTCCTCTTAATCTATTTGTCCGCCCACAACCGCCCGGCTGCACACACTCACAGCCTCGCACCAATCGCCGCCGCCCAATTAACCCGAAGCGACCCCCATCGGGCATCTCAATAGTGCGGGGTGAAGCTCCCTTGCTGCAACGTGCCTCTTCTTGGCTGCTCAGAGCTCTTGGACTCTGCCTCTCCAACCGCGCCAAATTAACACAGTATCCAATCGGCCCTTAAGCCTGCCCTCCATCACAGCTGCCTGTCTTGTGTCTTCCGCCACTCAAACTGCTCTCTGCTCTCTACTCCCTGCTTGTCGCAAAAGACCTTGCCGCTTCTTATCAGCAACCAAGACAGACTTAATTCTCTGGCCTGTGCCTTGAACGCTTTAGGCTGCAGCTCTAGAGAGTTTTTGTCTTTGCCTTTGGCCTTGTCTGAAGCTTCAACTTTGTGTCTTGTGCGAAACCCACCACAACGTCATCATGCTTGCTCAGAGGTTGTCTCGCCGTGCCGCCGCCGCAGCTCCGCGTGCTGGCGTGCGGGCTCTGGCCACAACAGCCTTGAGGCAGAAGCATACACCGTCGATGGGCGACATCAACCCCACGGCGGGGTCGGTCGAAACCTTCAACGAGAAGCAGAGAGCATTCAGAGAGCAGCTGGTGGAAGCGCAGAAGGAACGGGGAGCTCGTGCGTTTGGATCCCAGAACTTTGCTGACCCTGTCAACCCTGACCAAAGCTCATCTCAAACTGCTGCAGGAGCCACAGCCTCGGCCACGAGCGGCGAGCCTGATCGTAAGCAAGGGCCGCTGACGAACCTCATCTATGGCACAAAGGAAGGCAGAGAGATGGAGGCCCAGATGGAGGCCAGCTTCAGCCAGGTCCTGGCTAGAGGCAAATACGTCCACTCCATTGTGTTCCACGAGGTCCAGCCGGATAAGGTGGACGAGTATGTCAAGCTCACGGGCGAATTCTACCCCAAGATGGCCAATACACCCGAGAATAAGGTTCACCTGGTCGGAAGTTGGCGAACAGAGGTCGGCGACTGCGACACCTTTGGTAAGGATAGTTCCGCGCGTGCTTTATTCATCGCAACTCTCTGCTAATCTTTTTCCCACTCATAGTGCACATTTGGGAGTACCAGCGGTACGAGGGCTACCACGAATCTCGACACTCCATCTCCCACCACCCCGACTTTGCCGATTTCAACACGAAGCTCAGCAAGTTGATCAAGTCCAAGAAGATTTCTCTGATGCAAGAGTTTTCCTTCTGGCCTACCACTCCTCCGCGCGAGCTGGGAGGTGTCTTTGAGCTTCGATCATATACTCTTCACCCTGGCAACCTGCTGGAGTGGGAGACTCACTGGAGAAGAGGCCTCAAGGCTCGAAGGGAGGTCATGGAAGGCGTTGGAGCCTGGTTCGTCCAGATCGGAGAGCTCAACACGGTCCACCATCTCTGGCAGTTTGCCAACCTGGAGGAGCGAAGGGCCCGCCGAGAGAAGAGCTGGTCTGTTGAGGGCTGGAGCGATACAGTGCACAAGACGGTGCCTCTGATCCAGTCCATGCAATCCAGGATCCTCATCCCAATGCCCTGGTCGCCTGTACGATAAGCTCTGTTTCTCCTGCTTTGCAATCAGTTTTCAGTGCGTTGGGTTTCAAGATTGAGTTGTCTATTTTGGCGGCGTCAAAGGTGGCTTTCATGTAGGAGGAGTTGTATATTGTATATACAAGAGAATGGCATGACGAGAGCATCATATATGTAAATTTTCCTTCTTTTTCTTTGAATTTAAACAAATCATCTCTAGCTCTGTTCGCCTCTCGAATTGTGACTGCCAAGATGGAGTTGGGACAAAGATTTACATTGGGGGGTATTTGCATGTATATGCTGCCAATCGAACCAGAAATGTCCTTGAAAATGACGGTTATGTATGTACAAATCATCGCCCATGATAGATGCTCAAGAGTACTGGCTACTACGTGTACGTCTTCAACTGCACACTCATAACTGCATCCAAGTTCCGCCGCGCCTGGTCTAGCATAATGTTCAGATATCCTAGTTTTGAATAGAGCGAGATGAGGCTGGGATCTGCGCTCTCCACCCGGACCTTTTCCCGTACATAGACCTCTTCCAGCTGAGAATTTGAAAACGTCCTTGTAATAGGAGGCTGGCTGTGATTGGCGGCCAACCGCCGGGTATCGGACATGTCGTCTCCCCCGGGCTTGTACTTGAACACAATGTCGGCTTCGTCATGTTCGAGGCGTCGGTACGTGCCGATAGCGAGACCGAGCTTCGTGCCGAAATGGACGGGGGCATCGACGGGTTCCAGGGCGCGCAAGACGAGCACGATGCTGCATTCCTGAAGAGTGACGTAGAAGCTAAAGTTTTGCGTCAGGGGAGGCGAAAAGTGCGATGATGGACAGGATTGTGTGGTCCAATTCGTGTCTAGCTCGTTCAAGGGCGGTCCCTTGAGGAGCACGATGGAGTTGGAGATGGAGTCGGCGAGGAGACGTAGCCCTGATGAGAGCGCTTGCGCTTGGTTGGCAGTAAATGATGAGGCGTCGGCTTCGGCATCGGATGGCTTGCTGTTGGATAGGAGAAGGCCAAGTAGGTCGATGGATTCGGTGAGATGCGTGTGGAGAGTGTCGAGTGCGTGGATGTGGATGGGGTATGCTTGGGAGAGGGTGAGTGTCTGTTGCGCAATGGTTCGAAATTGGAGACCGAGAGACTAGAAGAGCAAAATTGCGTGTCAGTAATGCCATTTCTGTGCCACATATTTACAAGGAGCATCCAATTTACCCCCTTGACGATGCGCGTGCCGACCCGAGTGATGGTGCCCTTGACTCGCTCGTTGCGCGGCGTGCTCATCACCAGAGTGCTGCCAGGATCAACCGGCGCCAACAGCGCGTAGCAGTCCTCCAGGCCATGCTTGAGGTCTTCGCAAGTCTGAAGAGTCCTCGCGACTATCCAAGCCAGCTCGCGTTTCTTGAAAGATATCAGCATTCTTGCGTTTCTCCCCCCGTTTGCTTGTCCAGCTCAGCTTGCGCGCGCCATCAAACTACCGACCTGGGCTTCAGCGACTTTTATGCTGAGCTCCCCTGGGGATACGGGAGGCCAGATGTCCAGAGACATGGCTGTTCAGCGGTGGGCGAAATGGTCGGAGCCTGGGATACAGGCAGCCATTCCTCTGAGAAGAGGCCAGTTCCGAGGTTGTTGAAGCTGGGAAGCGAAGAGGCTCTAGAGTAGAAGATGGACGGGATGACGTTCCTGGCAGTGCTATGGCTGGTTCGTTCGTGGTGGGGCTCGACGCGATAACAGCTGCCGATAAGAAAAAGCGGGCTGGGCGAAGAACTAAGGTAAGAGCAAGTGCCAGGCAGTCATGATTGATGAAAGTCTTCCTCTCATATTACCTTTTTTCGCGCGACAGAAGTTGGCAAAAGGGACGCTTGTTGTCACCTCATTTGTGTCTCTATATTCATTCATTTTCAAACTCATTCTTATTCTCATTAATATTGACACTTCTCATTGAATCGTTTTTTCTTCTTCTCCATAATTGTTGAGCCAAGCTTTTGAGAATCCGAAAAGGCTCTCTGAGGCCAATCACCACTCGCTGATTCGCCATGTCACAACAGAAAAACGCCCCGTCTGAGCTGGTGCCTGGGGCGACCAGCAAGATGGCCCCAATTCCCCAGGGTAGGCACATCACTGTTACTGGCACTTGAGGACACGGTTGAAGCTTTGAAACGTCTCTAACGGTCAGATTCTAGGCGCCAGGATTCAGAAGCGTCCCCTCACTCGACGCCAGCTCCCAGCGTCGTCTAAGACGCCGATCATTTACGTGTCCTCAAATTCTCCCTTCATGTCTGTTGTGAAGCGGGCCAGGAAGTTCTTGGACAAGGACCTGCGTAGTAATACTTCTGCTGCCAAGAATGTATCCTTGCACGCGCGCGTTGAGGCGCTCAAGAGAGGCAGTGCCAGTGGGACGTCTCGTGGAGCTGTGGTGACGGTGATGGGCACAGGTAAAGCTATTGAAAAGACTCTAAATGTCGCCAGCTGGTTCCAGCAGCAAGGGGACTGCGTTGTCGAGATTAAAACACGAACCATTGGGACAGTAGACGATGTGGTTACAGGAGATGCAGACGACGCGTTTGGGGCCGACAACGAAAGCCGGCTGAGGAAGCTTAATTGCTTGGAAGTTGCCATCAACTTGAAGTGAACAGTACCCGGAGCAGAGGCATTACGAGAAAGCACCAATGGCAAGATGGAGAAAGAGGGATCATCAGGTCTCGCTGCAGGATGACGTCTATTAGCGATACAAAGCAGTGAGCTCTTATGCAACCACTGCGAGAATCTCGCTGACCAAACAAGTCCCCAGCAGACAAGCAACATCAACAAACGAACATGAGCGAGGATGAGCACACGCTTATTATAATAACGCCGAACGCGCCGCCATCAACCAGGGAACACCTCACAGCAGCCAACCCCACAGATGTCTCGAAAAAGCGTCAAATTAACAGGATTTCTTTCGCTTCGAACCTCCCCCATGCCTAATTCCGTTACCGCCTCATTAAAACAAAAAGAAAAAGATGAAGAAAGAAGAGGCCCCGTACTCCGATTCCGATGCAGGCCCATTACCGCCAAAACCAAAAGTAACCGATGCTGAAAAGAAAAATACTCCGGAAAGGAAAAACTCCACGCTTCAAACTCCGCAAATCTGCCGTCACCCGGGCGAGTCATCGTGAATCCGCCAAACCGTTGAGAAGAGAGAAAAGAAAAAAATGCAGTCCGCCGGCGCCGCCCTTCCCTATGCTTTGTGTCGTTGGTCTCGCAATAGCAAATTTTTTCCCAGAGAACTTCGGGTTATGCCTCTGGCATAATACGTCTTTTCCCGATAGATGGCCTTATGCTGCCTGTCTTCAAGTGAGGCGATAGGCGCTTTGATCACTAGTTAGCCTTGCTTGGGAAGCTAATCACGACATGATTGGGTGATTTATCTACTCACTCGATAATGAGCTCTTCACCTCGCCACACACCACTGGCGACCCAGAGCCCACAGTTGACGAACTCGGCATAGCGCTTGTCTGCTGTTTTGACCGTGGCAAAGGTCCGAAAGCCGTATTGACGGGGATCAATGTTCTCCTTTGATTCCCGGGCGCTGAGCAGGGTATCGAGTACGTCACATGGGCCCGACAGCGACCCTCGCGTACGCATCTCCAGCATGGCCGGAGGTTGGTCAGTAGTCTGCAGGACAAATGCGCCCTCAACAATGCGAATCGGACGAAAGCCCCGTGCCTGCCCGAGATCATATCCGCCGGCCTAACGATTTGTCAGCTGATTTTTTCATCCTCAATTTTTTGTGCATGTTATGTCCTGGCACGGGCCGGAAACAGTTCGGGAAACCCAGGGTGCAATCATACCATGACTCGACCGTTGCCAAATGATCCGGACCACCTGCCTCCCTTGATGGTGGTGATCTCCTTTTGGACACGGTTCTCAATTCTGGAGGGCTCCGGATTGAGTGCGACGGCGATGCGAAAGTCAAACTCGAGAGTAGGCATGGCGAAGGAGACGCTCGGACAGGGAAAGTGCTCTAGCGAACGCTTGCAAGCTTCCTCTACGCTCCTGTACGAGGACAAGAGGTTGGATGTTAGCCAGTAATCGGAGCTCGGCCTGCGCTTCAAGGGCCTATCGCACTCGTCGGGGTTAAGCTGCGCGACGTACTTGCCCGTCACCGTGGCATCGCCTCCTTGATCCTGCTGAGGCTGCTGTGTCTGGTGCTGAGGGCTCGTCGCGGAGTTGCTCGGGCCGCCTAGCTTGGCGGGAAAGCCAAAGGTTGCGGTGATGCTCGTGTCCCACTCATCGGTACACCATTCGCGCTTGGTTCCACGGAACTGATGCTCGTCTTGAGGGAGACATGTTGACGCAGCGACCTCTGTCGGGGCCGTGGTGGTCGGGAGAGAGAGCGTCTCGGTGTCGGTTGCCATTTATTCCAGTCGAGAGAGAGAGAGTGTGTGTATGTGTGTACTTTTGTCTTTTTGTCTCTTTAAGCCTTTGCGTCGAGTACCGGATCGACCCTGGCGACTGCAGAAATCTCCACTGTCACGGAAACCCGAGGCGGCCGCGGAGAGGATGTCAAGATTGAATCGAGCAATGAGCGATGTCAATCTACGTTATCGGATTCTTTGATGATATAGGTTGGAGCGCATCAAGACAAGACGATGGGATGTCGTCTGTTTTTGGTAGGGGAGGGGGGCCCGAAGGCTGGTCGGCAGCGGAGAGATGGGTATATGAATCTCACAATCAGGCTCCGCTTTTGGATAATCCCGGTGGGGTGTATGAGCAAATGTGTGTACTTGTATGTATGTACGAGGGTATGTAACCGGTACGTCCCGGGACAGACAATGTTTATACGGGCGGAGGAGGTGCTTTGCCGCAGGCGCTGCTGAGTGAGCGTGTGGTTGGGTAATTGGTAATACTCGATTACTTGGAGGGGCAGCTGTGGACGTTTTTTTTTTCTGATCGGGCTGGATGGGACGGGGGGGCAAGGTTTAAAGGGCTTCCTATTACCGGATGTCCGCCAGACCCGGCCGAGAGAGAAGGGGACTGGAGACTTTTGAGAGGCGGCGAGCGAGGGAAAGGCTGGGCAGCGATGAGTTAAGCAGGAGAGAGGTAAAGAAGAAGAGAGAGGAAAAGGGACTGGTATTTGGTGGCGTGCCCCGTGTCTAAGTGGTAGCGTGTGTGAGTGTGTGACTGAGAGTGTGTGTGTGCGTATGTTTTGGGCTGGCAGCCAGCGAATGAAGAATGACCAAGCAGAAATGGAACAGAACAGAGCAGACAGGACAGAGAAGGCGAGGGAAAAGGCGATGGCGAAGAGCTGAGTCTGAATGGGTAGCAAAGTCCGAAGTAGGTAAGTGAGATAAGGTGAGGCAAGGCAAGGCAAAAAGCAAAGCGCAAAGCGGATGGAAGGCCGGAGTACATGCGAGTACTTGGGCGTTATAAAATCCGAATGATTTCAAATGCGGGTCGCGGATTCGCGCAGGCAATAATAAGCGAAACTAAGCGCTACTCGTGTGGCAGGATTGGGCAAATTAGCGTTTCCGCAATGAGGAAATTGGAGAGAAGAAGGCGAGTTTTGAAAGGATTCAAGGTTGGGGGATTGGGATGGAATCGGATCGGGATGCACGGTCATGATTACGGAGTGCAGATTTGATTTCACGGGCGAAGGAGCAGCAAGCATCTCGATGGCTCGATGGTCGATTGCTTGGGTAGCAATACTGTACGATACGGTACGGTACGGCTGAAACTAAGGTTGATGGATAGATTGGTAACCCTGAACACGTAGGCCTACCATGGCTGCTGCAGTACGTACGTACGGGTACGGGTACACACGACACGCAGAGATGGATTCATTCTTACGACTGATGATGCTACAGTTGGAATACTTTGGGTACTCTCTTCTTACTCGATTCGACGCATTTGCCTGGTGCCCGTTTTCGCGAGAGGTACATGTGCTGTACATGCCATGCATCTGGGTCTGCCTGGGACGATAAGCTTGGTAGCACCAGAACTTGCCTTTGTGTCCGTACTCCGAGTGGGCTGCGGGTGCGGACTAACAGACAACTGCGAAACGGGCAAAAAAAGGTACATACCTACACACGGGCGGACGAAAAGAAAAAAGAGGTAGTCGCATGTACCTTGTCTTGTTCGGGGTTCTTGTGTTTTTTTCTTTAATAAAACGAGAGGCGATGGGGAGAGTAACATTTGATTGTTGCTTTATGCGACACGGACGGTACGAGCATAATATATACAACGCGGAATTACCTGTTGGTTCGGTGGCACTGCAGTAAGTGCAGCAGCGAAGAAAGAAAAGCGCCGGCGAGAGCGGTCGCCGAATCGGCGGGCTGCGGGCCGAGGGTATTTGGGACGGTAAAAGCATTGACAGCGAGCAAAGGAGAAACGAAAGAAGGAAGGGAAAAAGAAAGAAAGGAAAGGAGAAGGGAAAGGATTTGCGATTTTTATTTGCATTGATGGGTTCATGTTATTCGAGATTTGGCCATTTAATTATTTTATTTTATTTTTACCCTTTTTTTTTTTTTTTTTTTTTTTTAACATTACAGCCATGTGCTCTTCTTACAGTAATTGCTAGGTACCTATATCTTACCCCGGAATTTTGGCAAAATGCCTTGATGTGGTGAACTTTTGACTTCCGCTGGATTAGGGAGGGAGAGGAAGAGAGATGGGCCGTCGGGGGAGGGCTGGGGCTGGGCAGGTTTATAGTGGCCATGGCATTTCGCATTGGCATTTGACATGAGTATTGGCATTTGACGCCCATCAAGACGGGACGGATTCGTGTGTGTGCGTACTCGGACAGTATGAGTGCACGCGCGCGGAGGTACCTACCGCTGTAGTTACGGTAAACTCCCTTAGCCGCGGAAATCTGGACAGCCAGCTAAGCCCGGCGCTGTTAACGTTAACTTGCACTACTCCGTGCAGCTACTTTCAATTGCTTTGCATACGTCGGCGGCCCGGAGACCCAAGATTCGTGGTTACCGTGGCTGTAGGTTTTTTTTGTTTTTTTTTTTTGGGCGTAGAATGGTTGGGCAGAAAGAAGAGAGAGAGAAAAGAAGAGAAAAGAAGAGAAAAGGAACATGAGGAAATTGGGAGAGCAAGGGAGGTACCTCTGAAGTATCTCCCCTTCGGAGCATTTCTTCTTTTTCCTTTCGTTCTCGCTTGGGCTTCGCATTTGCCGTACCTGGTATAATTGTAAGCAGTGCTAGGTATGTGTGCACAGTGTTCCTTTCGTCGGCGCGATTGTCGACCCGGAGTACCTGACGCTTTTTGCTGGGGGGCGGGTAATCCCCGATGGCGATGGGGCGGAGGGAGAGGTACGCAGGGGGTACTTCCAGATTGCTTCGGATGCTGGGTGCTACAGGCAGTTGTACCGTGCTGCGTTTTTGCTTGGGTTTCTGCCTTTTCTTTCCTTTTTCCGGAATTGCGTGGTTGTGGTGGTACGGTAAGGGACATGGGTGCAAGGATATGGGAATATGGAATATTCGGTGTTCCGAGGGGGTGGTACTGCATCATGACGATGGGTTTACATGTGCTTTTTCTTAGGCTTGTCGGGGCATTTAATTGCTGCGACGGAATATTCCTAATGCTCAGGGCTTTTGGCTTGCTGCATTTGTCTGTCTCCTCGTCGATTGCTCGAATCGTATGCCTGGCGTCCTTTTCTTTCTTTTTTTTTTTTTTTTGTCTGTAGAATTGCCTTACTCGTGGGTTCATTATTACTGCCGGTATTACAAGGTATATTATGAAACTTGTGGACGTGGTCAGCCCCAAAAAGCCGGGATCAAAAGAGCCCTCCCAATGGCAAGGTAGATTGACCATCCAAAAGGGTGTAGCAGTGACATTCAATTTCTTGGGGACTGGCTAATAGACGAACGAATTTCCATGGGAGGGTCGGAGAATGGGCGACTTGTGTTCTGGGGGGTGGTGGCTATCTCCGCTGTTGCTAGCTTGATACAGGCATAGTTGGCCGAAATGGTTTGATTTCTCTTTCGTTTTTTTTTCTTTTTTCTTTTCTTTTTCTTGTTCTTGTGGTTTGTTTGTTATTGAGAGGTTCGGAATCGATTCCAAGTTGAGGACGGGCCGGATTCTATTTTGTTTTACTTTTCTTGGTGTTATTGCGGTTGCTGTCCCCCCTACAATCCGGCCATGATGAGATGTTGGTACTGTGAACGAATCCATGTAGAATTGAAGGAGATTCAATTATTTGCTGCTCCGTAATACGCCTCATCGTGTAGTAACAGCTGATTCATGAGCTTGAAACTGCAAGCTCGAAGCTTCAATCACAGCAACACGGCAGATACCGCGTGGAGCCCCCGAAACACGGGCGTCCAGCCGTGACAAGTACCTCCCAAGTACACAGCGCCATCTGCTCCAAAACTCCACCAAGAAAAAGGAAGAAGCGCGCGCGACGGAAAGCCGAATATCTCCTTTTTGTTGCATTCCATCTTTTTTGCCTTGGTAAAACCACAAATTCCTTCGTTTTTACCGTCGAGAAAAAAACGGCCTGCATCACTTTGCCGTGTCGGCCTTTCCATGCTTTCCGAAGAGCCATTTTTACGGCAGATCACCGATGTAGGGCTCCGTCCAAGATACATAACTTGGAACATTTCAATGCTATCTATTACTGTAATTCCTGTTGATATCGTATTTGATCAAAGCTCCCGCCCCGGAATAGAGGGAAAAGAAGTGGCATATATTACCGAGTGCCGGGAAGCCCGCGCCACGCCTCTCTCTCTCTCTCTCTCTCTCTCTCTCTCTCTCTCTCTCAGCTCCAGCGCCGGAATTACACACACAAAATTTACCTGCCGCCGCGGCATTTGGCGCAGTGGGGAAAAGCCCGACAGCGCGCGGTGTTTCGCTGTCTTTTGCGGTCTTCTGGGCTTTGTTCTTGGGCGAAAACGGATTCGCGGGACGTTCCCCGTCTCCTCGTGGCCATTTTGGAGCCGCTTCGGCGATGATGACATAGTAAAGTCCGTCTTGGTTTCTTGTCTTTCTCTGCTGGTTACAGTGTTTTTGCTTGTGTAAAGCTGCTTACATACGTGCATTCGAACCCTTGACTTTTCGCTTTTTTTCTTCTTTTCTTTCCAGAGATGCCGCGAGAGATACCGAAAGCATTGATCCCTCTTCTTTCGTACTTGGTATCTTGCTAATCGCGACTCGTCGGATTAATAAGCCGCCATCATCTGCCGCGTTTCCTTTCTCAAGAGTATTTGAAAGCAAGGCAGAAGCAGTTACCAATTTACCTATACATTACCATTCAATTCTACAGTAGGCATTCTACAAAGTGACGCGCACACACCAAAAAAAAGATAGGGCGGGAAGATTAGTTGGTCTGGTTATTGCCCTGTTGGGAGGAGGAAGAGGAGGAGCAGCACCCAGCCTTTATCGAGCCCGTTTTTAGGCCTGTTTTCTCCCCTTTTTTTTACTTGACGCCGCCCAAGCCAAGGTGCTAGAAAAGAGGGCGAGTCAGTTGCTTGGCTTGTGAATTTGTGAATTTGTGATCGTGGGTTTGGGGCGATTATTAATTCCATGCGGGCGTGTCGAGGTTTTTGCCGTTTACGGGCAATGGCTGAGGAATCATGAGCATGAGCTGTACAAAGGCCAAGAGAAAGAGGGCAAAAACACGAAGAATGACGAGAATGAAAGAGGGCAGCAAAGATGCCCATCGCTGAGCAATCCAGTCGGTCGGGGATTTTGTCATTGCTATTGTTGTCGGGAGTGGCGGGAAGCGCCTCTTTTGATATTCAATCTTCGCCCTAGTTGGGCGCGTACGAGTACGAGTAGGCTACATGTCCACGTACGAGCTACACGTACTCCGTACACGTCATATTTGCACGACGGAATCGTGTTGTAATGAGTAATGTAATGGATGTAATGGTACTGTGCAAACGCGTAACAGAACACAGCGTGTTGGCAGGTAAATGGCAGAACCATTATCCAGTATGGCTGACATTCGGAGTTTCTTAATTGCGAATGAAACTCCAAATGTCCGTCCGGTGAGACATGCGCAAAGCTCCGATGCGCTGCTGCTCCCCTTTGTTGCTCTGAGCTCTCTATCTTGGGGATTCTAAGTGTTTGATCAGAGATTCATGAAGTAATTGGTTGGTTTAAAGAATAGAAAGTATTCTCAATTTACTGTACAAAGAAAATAAGAGTAACCTCAAGCTGTAATACCGATCTCAACACCATTCGGACGTCAACGTTTCCCTTCCCAGCAATCTCCGAAATACCCCCCAGACTAACCCTCGGCGCGGCATCTTCCGTCCTCCTCCAACTCGCACAGCTTACTCGTGCATACACATGTACATTCTTGTCTCTTTTTTTCCTTTTCACTCGTTCTTCCTTCGATCTTGTTTACCCCTCAGGCTTTCTCATTTTCAGTTAGTATCCCCCCCCCCTCTCGATACAACCATCATCATCCCCATCGAACTTCTCCAAGAACGAAGTCATTGCACCACCCAAGCTTCCCTTAGAGGTAGCTTTAGTAGCTTAGCTTTCCTTTCTCCTCCCTCTTCGCGAAGCTTTGCATATGTCAAGGTTTCCAATATGGAGCACCACATCTCATCTACCCACAAAAAAAAACATGGCTCTTGATCCAAAACACCTTCTTCTGCCAAATCCTCGGCAAGGCTTTCGTCACGGAATCGGCAATCCGCTTCTCTTTCATCACCGCTCTCCGATGCGCTGGAAATGGTAATAGTGCTCCGATGACCAAACTTTTGTTCTCCTAGAAGGGAATTATACACTCTCTTTTCATTACTGTAGCAAAAAGAAATTCTATTCCTTAATTCCCCTCCAATATCCCCATTTATACATACCTAGGTACGTTAGATGGAACTTCCACGCCTTGCACGCTTCACAATGTCATCCATCCTCACCACCACCATCCCGAATCCGTATGTAGGCTACAATCCCCAAAGAAGCAAAATACATTCCCATATAGAAAGTGATAGCCTATTTCCCCCCCAAAACCACCTCCTCATAATTCTCAATCCATGAGTGTCAGTCATGTCATCCCCCCCCGCCTATTCAACAGCCCTTCCTCGGCATAACACCACCCCGAAAACCATCCCCATGCAAGACATCCAGTTGACACGGGTCCCAAGACGCGCCGAACAATACATACACACGGCTTCATTGAAAACGGCACAAGGTACACGGCAGGTACTTTTCTCCCTTCTTCTTGACCAGCTTTTTTTCAGCGAGATTCTCCACCTGGGTTGAATAAGCATACATATATCCCGGGTCCGGGTCGGCGTCTTGCGATATTCCATGGTGCCAAGAGCAGAATACAACCACCAGGTGCTCCATAGCATCTACTTGTACATGATTGTTCACAGTCGGCAGCATTCACGTGGCTTGAGCCGAAATGGCCATGTCCTACTGACATGAGCGTCGTCCAAATACGGAGTAGCCAAATCTACATTACAGTAGAGTATCAACCCCCTGAAGCACTCCAGGACATTCAACATCGTGTCACATCACACAGGGTCTACGGCGAGCAACTGTGATAATCATGGCATAAAACATATTCAGCTACGGTCGTGCAATAGTGTCTATGGTCGTTGCGTCTATTCACAGAAAATGAGCACCGCCGTGCCTCCATATGTAAAATGAACCAAGAAGAGAGTTCCCTAAATGTCGGCGCTTGCGAGGGTCACCGTCGACGCCATCACTGCATCCGCATTGACGCGTTTCGACAGAGCCCTGCAGCCGTAAAAGAATCGAAATGCCCCCCGTTGCAAATCCAGCACATCGTCGGGCATTGTGCCAGCCCCATAGCGCCCCTTTACCAGCCTGGATCCGTCTGTGTACTCATCATATCGACGCCATGCACGTTGAAGTAGCCGAGAAGACCAATGAAAGAAGAAACTGAGAGCAGCCAAGGGAGCTGTCCCTTAAAGTTTGTGGGAAAAAGAAGAAGAAGCGAAGAAAATCAAGTCCAGATTGTCAAAATGACATCGCGTAAGATACAATGAGAAGCGAAAAAAAATTCGTTCAACGTTTCGAAAGTCCGAAACCCTAGCCACGCACATCTCAGCCTTCCCGGAGCCCGACCGCCATTGTGATGCTACGACCGAGTCCCTATAGAGTCTGCATGGACAGGAGAAAGTGGCAAGTGCCGGATGGTGGTTTTCCCTGTTACTATTTAGATAGTAACGGTGGGGTGGCCCAGGGCAGGGAGAACGTTCTCAGCGTACTCGCCACCAAAGTTTCCTGTAAACATGAGTGTTAGTTTCATGCCGCCATCAGAGGGTCGACTTCTTAGGGGGGGCTTACCTGGGCCCCCGTAGTTGCAGACAGTGTACCAAGATGGCATAGAGAGGACGGTGCCAGCAGGGCACTTGGCGGTGTAGCATCCGACCTTGGTGGATGACTTCCAGACAAGCTGGGTGAAGTGACCCCAAGCATCCAGGTTGGAGCCGGAGGGAGGGTTGTCGAGGCCGAAGAAGGTCCAGTTCTCCATCTCGTCGTTGTACCACTGGTCAGTAATACCACGGCGAGCAGACTCGAGCTGCAGGTCATCGATATCGCCAGTGGAGCCCCAGCTGGCAAGGTTCTGGCCGTAGCCACCACCGCCTTGGGTCCTATAACAAGGTTAGATTTTATATACCCTTTCCAAAATGTCTATTCCTAAATCATTCACTTACATGTCGTGAGCGAAAACGCAGCCCTCGGCAATGGTCTGGGCATATCCGGCAAGAGTAGTATCCCAAGCCAGATCGGGAGCAGAGTGGTTGGCACGGTGAATGTTGTGCTCGTTGACAACGATGGAGCTGTAGTCGTTTCCAGAGGCGGGAGCCGAAGCCGCAGGGGAGGAGGCAGCAGGCTTAGGGGAGGCAGCAGCAGGCTTAGGAGAAGGAGAAGGCGAAGGCGCAGGCTTGGGAGAAGGCTTGGCGACGACAACCTCGGGGGTCGGTGATGGTGACGGCTTGGGAGCCGGGGCGGGAGACTCGACAGGAACGATCACAGGCTTAGGAGCCGCGGCCGGTGCCGACGAAGCAGGAGCCGGCTGAGGAGCTGCCTGGGGAACAGACTGTGGAGTCACCGCGGGCTTGGGAGACGGGGAAGCCGGAGGAGGAGGAGGAGCATAGACGGGCTTGGGAGCCGGAGCTGCGGGCTGAGGAGAGGGAGTGGCGGCTGGCTGCTCAGAAACGTTCTGGACAAAAACTCCACCAGCGGTTGGCGTAGCAGCAGCGGCAGCGCTAGCAGAGGGGTCGACGGTGACAGTGACAGTGACAATGTCAGTGACCCATTGGACTTCCAGGGCTCGCTTGTCGAGGGGCATGGCCGAGACCAGCAGGGCACCCGCGGCCAAAAGGACAGCGGACGACTTCATTTTGAACGACGGAATAGTCTTTGCTTGGAGTTGTAGATGTCAAGTTGAACTTGCTAAGGAAATGGAGTTAGCTTTTTCTGTGATTCTATACTCAACATGTGTTTCAAATGGAGACAATGGCTATTGAATATCTTGCGGATTTTGAAAACATCAAACTGGATATATAGGGATCCGAAACAACAGCGATTCACAACGAGGCTGGTAAACGAGAGATCTTGTGCGTCATCCATGCGGCAGTATAATGCCAGAGGGCTGCTAAACTCCTCTGGAACGTGGTCTTGGGAGGATGAGGAATGTAGCAGACCCATGAGACTGCCGTTGGAAACGGAACAATACCCCGCAACTCGACACCAGAGCTTAAAACAAATCCGAGGAATGGGCCAAGCATGGCAGTGCTGGGACAACGTGCAAACGGACACTTGCCCAGTTGCTCTGGAGACGAGGGAGGGCGATGGAGGTGGTCAAGAAAGTTGTCACATGTATGACGAGAGATGCAGCTTGAGAACTGGTGACTTGATAAAGCACATCATGATTTATGATGGATATATATATGAACAAGGAGTGAGAATAGAGTTGTCGATCACTGCCTTACCTTTGATGGACTTGATGGTATGGCGATCCAAATGAGAGATCTGGATGGTGGTCGAAGAGGGTTTATATTGGCTTGCGTCAGAACCTGTCTGGTGCAGCACTGCTTTCAAGGTTGAAGGAGAGTCGGAGGAGCCGTGTGGTTGGACAACGGGCAGGGACTGAAGTCGTCTTGTTCGTGGAGCTTTTTGGGGGTTCCTCGAAGGAAAAGAGCGTGTTCAGTCGGCGGCTGGATGCACTCGACTTTGTGGATAGTAGCGAAACTTTGAAAGAAGAACCGGATACCAGGCCGATAAATAACGAAGTGAATCAATCGGGTCTCAGAAAAAGGAGTGGAATGTGCCGTCGAGGACACGGTAAGGAGAGTTTGTTTAAGAAAGAGGGGAGGGAAGGGAAATGGCCAAGATTTCGCTCTCTAGGAGTGGAGGACAAGGAGAGGCGAGAAAGCGGCAGCGGCAGAAGGGCGACGTTAAAAAGGAACGAAGGTCAGTCAGTGGTGGGAACCCGCCGAATTGACAAGGAGTGGGCAAACGGGGGCAGCGTGTAGTGTGTAGAGAGTAGAGTAGAGATGGCAAAAGAAGGTGGAGGAGGCTAGGCTAGGGGAGATGAAGCTGGGATTGCTCGAGTTTGCAGTGTTTCGAGATGCGCACGCCCCCGCCGCGACCAGGGGGGTGCCTACATTACGAGGTCAGGTACCCGTAGCGTCAGTAGCGAAAGGCAGCTGAGGCGCCCTGTAAATGGAGCTGCAGATGCTGAGCTGGAAGCCCAAGAGTGCCCTGCTACAGCACTCCTAATGCAGTACCTGACCTATTGATTCATTGTTCCTTATCGCAGCATTGATACCCGACCTCATTAATGCTGATACTGCACCTGCACTGCAATGCATCGGATTCCCTCTCTCTGCGCCTAAATAACGAGGGTCTCCCGATATCCCATGTACGAGCATATACGCATTGATCACCCGGTTGGCTATACGAAAATTATCCAAGACAAACAAAAAAATACCCCATGTGCGCGGGTTCCTGGAATCATGGGGCTGTTCCTGTTCCTGACGCTACGAAACAAGCCAAGTTGCTTAGCACTGCACTTTATTGCCAGCTTAGCCTAGTTGGGCAGCGCGGGGGTGACGGCCATGGCGTGGCTGTAGTAAAGAGCATCAAATTGAACACAACAAGCCTTTGTGCTGCATCAGCGTCAAAGTCTGTACAGCAAGCATGTACAAGAACGAGAGCGATTTGATGCCAGGCTTTTCTGAAGACTGCTGGTGTAACGCCCAAACCTCTCGGTGGCGATATCGACAGGTAGTAGTGGTACTGCTTTTGCATCAGCTGCCAGCACACGACGACTCCAAGGATCACTATCGTGAACCTGACCCCGATGCGTCCTATACTAAGCTGAGTCTTTCTTTTCTTTTTCCAGCTGCCCATCAAAAAAAGCCACCCGCAAGGGCTGAAAAGAAGCATTCTAGACCGCTGTCTCCGGCCCCGCGCTCATCTTGCACTGACAAGGCTCAAAATTAAAGCCACCAGCAATTACCGCCTTGGCCAAGCCCCAGCAGCCGGGATGAGGGACCGCCTAATCCAACCCTTCTCTTGACATCATATCTTGCGTCTTCTTGCTTTTTCCACAACTGCAGCATTATTTTTTGCTTTTTTTAATGCACATAATCCTCGACGATGTAGTATCCCAGGGCGCCGATTACGCACATCGTCCATGGTGTGTCTGAGATCGGATGGCGCAGCCGCATTGGCGAGAAGAGAGAGAGAGAAAAGGTTCAGTTCGTCAATGTCTCTGCCCGGGGGGTCTCATGAGCCCCCCTCCAAGCCAACGCCATCATACCTCTGTGCAAGTGCAACTTCGTATTCCGCCCATGTATCGAGATTAGATGCGCCTAAACTAGACCCGGATCGCTACTGTACACGCAGTTACTACTTTGGTCGTTGGCCGAAGAATGCCTTCGAAACGCCTTGCTGGCGCGCTACTCTTGACTTGATGCTCACTTTCTAAAAGCTTCAACCGTCTGCTGTCCTGAGGTTGCTCTGGGCAGGGAGGAACGCATATGATCGATGGCATCAATCAATATTACATGTATCATTATTCACGTACCACTTGGCGCTGCTACCCCCTTGATTTCCGACCCGCCATCTGGACTAACTGCCGAACATTGTTCTGTTTCTTTTCCGTAATGTGATTTCTCTCTTTTTTTCAGCCCTGAATCGGCGCGATTATTCGCCGACTCCGTGTATCCCGAGGCTTGGATTGAAAAGCTTGGCAGCTGCTTGCTTGAACTTTATGTGCAGTAGTCTCAATATGCAATAGCGATTGAATGACTTGAACTTAATTATTGAGGGGTGCTTACCTATCCAGCTGCATTTCTCATTCACCGCTACCTTTTTTCTCTTCAATCTGATCGATTCTTTCTGCCTTATTACCTGACTTTAGGTATACAGACAGGCCTAAACACTCATACGAGCAGCGTCGCTACCAACACCCCCTCCCCCTGCAGCTCATCCTTTTCTCCCCCATGAAATGTTTCCCGCCTCTCACAGCGCTGTGCCTTGCAGCAGCTCACTCTGGCGCTTGGCTGCTGCAGGCTCTCTTTCGACTCTCCACCAACCAGCGCCGGCGTCTCCATCAAACAAGCTACAGGCGGCCTTGCGGGACTTTTATCCCTGAAACGGCACTAATCGCTCTGTATCACCCCCTACCTCATCTCCAGCGCTCTTTGTCAGCCTATCGAGGGCCTGCAATTGGGGGCTTTTGGTCACTGGGAATGGGGCCTTTGTTTCTTGCTCGTAGATGCAGGAGGAGTGATGAATGTCACTCATTTCAAGCACCCTCGGCTCTCCTATACCGGGACGACTTGGTGATTCGATTCCAGCTAGCAGCTTTACCGGGAAACTCGAAAATCAGATCATGGATGGTACACGCCGTGCCCAACGGCATCTGGTGCAAGTGCAAGTACCCCCCGTACGGACACATGTAAAGTGACGGGAGGCATTCAATGGAACCAACATGGAATTGGTCGCTCCACGGCCCGCGTCTTCCGTGTACATGTAGAGTCGCATTCATGCCCTACCAAGGAATCAATAGTGCCAGTCGCAGATCGCAATTGTCCAGATGCGGGGTGTGCCAAAGAGGCAAACACTGCGCTTGGCATTTGAATATGCCATCCATTTGATCTGATCCTTGCCACTCGTACATTTACTCGTACGGAGCACATCACATCCCATTCTGTCACGGGTATTCCTTCTTCTCGTCTTCTTCTTCCAAGTTCCAACTCTCGTGCCTCCTGGTGTATGTAGTGACACTCTAACGATCCGCCTCGTGCTCCGCAGTTTGTGCGCCGTCTCATCAAGCGCACGCTGTGGACGCTCACGAGGCCGACCGAGGCCCCAGCTCCGGATACACCAAACGGCCGCCCTTTTTTTCCACCGTGTTTGCGCACGTACCTGTAAGAAGAAACCTGGAACATTGGATTGATGCCATGTCGCCCTTTTGCCGCCGACACTAGCACTTCAAGTAGTGGTGTTAATGGGTGATTTATTGGCGGGGCATGCTCCGTACTCTAAAGCACATGGCCGGAATCCAGCACGAGACATTTCATCCTTTGTTTCCCTTTCGCGTCTTCACAAAGCTCATTCCAACTCGAGCTTACGACTACTTACAATCCATTTATTTTCTCACTGCACTCATCATTTCGGTACGTCGGCTCATCTTCTCTCTTTGATGGTCCCACAACCTTGATCGTGTGTATCCGCTCGATGCTAGCCGTGTGCCTATTTCCCATCCCCCCTGGGTGAATCAGATATACCAACTACCCCATCCCCCCATGACCTAGTGCTGCTCGGAGGCAGCGTCTTTCTCGTCCGGCGTCCGGGATAACTGGAGTCGAGACCCAACGGGCTTACTCGCGTGTCCCAAGATCGAGAATCCTTTAGGGGTTTCCATCATGTCTCGCTGTACGAGTAACCAGTCATTGACTGCCACGGTGCTACCTGCTTGGCACTTCGTATTTTTGACGCAAGATAAACTTGGAACCGATGAGTCTCGGCAGCACACGTGCAGAAATGCTAAAGTTAATTGCAGCTATCGGATAACCACCCGCATGGGAGACTAGATGCCGTACAGCTCCTCATCTCTTGGCGTCTCTGGACAGATCCGAGGCGCGTATCGAGCACTACTGTACCTATATAGCCTAAACCAACCTACACAAAGACGCCGTTTGCTTTTGCTCTACTTGATCCCGTAGAATGCGTGTACACGTATGAGTGGCTCCACCAGATGCACTCTTTTCCCCTTGCTGATTCCATGTATGAGCACACACCCGGTGAAGCTGGTAGACATACAACCTATTCCGCGGTACTAGTACGAGTCCTGCTTCTTCCCTCGACGGATAACCGCTCAACAAAATACCCTCAAAAGTGCATGTAATTAACATCGTGCCGCTACGCCTTACGTAACCCGTGAGCAAGATAATCAAAGGACCCCAGCCAATTTCCATCCATCGTGGCCAAGGTCAGCCTCCTAACAAGGTTGGCCCAGCTCTTCCAGAACATTGCCGGGACGGGCTCCAGAGCCCACACGCCTTTAATATCGATTCAATTCATGGGCAACGGTACTTTGTGCTGCCGCTTTAATTTGTAGGAAACAAAAGTACAATTTTGATTTCAAGGTATGGATCCATCTGGACTCCTTCTCACGCCATCGGCGACTGAACGGCCAGATTCCGAGCTGCGGAACCTGCCCCAGCCCGCGGGCTTTCCGGGTCTGCACGCCGGCCGCGTTTTGAAACATGCCGCCGGTTTCGTTTTTCAAGGTTTTTTTTCTCTCCAAGGTTGTTTCTGTTTGTTTGTGGGCTCTTTTGACGTGTCCTAGTCTGCGAGATGGAGATGCACATAAGCGCCGCTAGGCCTACGGGTACGCCTAAGTAAGTGTCCTCCACCCCTTTTTTGCACGCCTAGCGACATGTGAGAGTTGTCTGATTACACTACAAACAGAGCTGAAGCTTGAGTATTGCCTACGAGCAGTAGCTTGTTACTTCTGGTTATATTCGTATCGATGAGCATGGTTGTTGTTGTTGTTGTAAGAATTAGTCGTCAGGCAAATGTCAGTGGCTGTTGCGCTCAGTGTTTTCTGTAGATGCATGCATGTAGGTCCCTCCCTTAGTAAAAAGCATCGCCCTCGTCTATTCTTTCGTCGCAGGATAAGCTTAACCAGCGTCATGCGCGAAGCGCGTGGCTGAAACAGAGGCCCATCGCGAGTGTTTTTTTTTCTTTTTTTCCTTTTTTCTTTTCTGTCCTGTTTCTCTTCTTTCGCTGAAAAGCTTTCTTTCCTGTTTTTGTTTTCTTGGCCTTTCTCTGGGTCGGTTTTGTCTAGATGCTTCTTGTGGAACCTGGCGGTTTCATATTTCGCCATTTTTTTCTCTCTAGTCTTCAACGTACGACGATGGATGCGTGCTGTGTTGTGTACTGTGTCTTGCTTGAGATTGAGCGGATCTAAAGATGTCCTTGTTTTTGTCGAGTTCTACAAGCTGAATGTTCGGTCAAAGTTGTGGAGTGGCTCTGGAAAAAGAGCCAATTTGTAAGGTGGTGATATGAGAGTTGATAGCTATCAGCCAACCCTATAGCCCAGCGTATTTAGCGCTACATCCAGCAAGTTCAGTCGTTTATAACCCTCGAATCTATAAATCATTATGAGATTTGTACTCTACTTGCCCTGGGGAACTACCTACGTTCTACGCCATGCAGTATTGTAGGGTAAGGTTCTTTGCATACTCGCAACTATCTGCAAGATCTATGGTATGAATGCCCCATGCCTCATATGGGTTGAAGGATTTTTTTCCACGTGTAAAGAAAATGGAGTATCGGTATTGAGCTCTTCAGCCGTATATAATGTTCTGTCCTACATAAAATCTGGCTTTCTCAGCCCGACTGTCGTACGGCTTATATATTTTCTACCTGGAGAGAACTCTATTGGTGATGAAAAGTTGAGATAGACATCCCACCTGCTGCCGAAACAATAATCTACTCCAAACAGTCAGCTATCCTTCCCGCCTCCTCCAATCAACTACATCTACACGTTAATATTGACTCAGCTGTCACTTCGCGAGTCTCACAATGCAACGGATGGAGATCCGTGTTCCAGAGGCAGGCTTCCGGCGCTTCACAAACTTGAGCGAGATATATCTCATCTCAAAATGTCTCGGCATGATGCCTTAAGTCTACACGATGACGCTGGCAGTATACACAAGGTGTAAAACTCCAGGGGAGAGCGAGGGGCCCCTCGTTTTCAGCCGTCTTAACCTGGCTGTCGTGGAATGGTCCCTGATACTCGGGGCTGGTGACGGCAGGATCGTGGGTTAGCATGTGAATGTGCAACTGCACCATTGATGATGCAAAAGCCCGAGGCCCGGTCGACTGAAGAACTGAGTCGTGTAACACGTCACGTTTTTAACCTTCTATTTTGAGTGTTTGGCGGCCTCAATGTCTTTCCCTCAAACAGTCTGCCTCGTACTATTTTGCTCAGGGCCAAGCATTTTCCATATGCCTTGGCCCTTTAAAGCCCCTCCTACACAAGAATCAAGACAGCACACGTTGCGTAGGAATCAAACGGTGGGAGTATTGTAGGCAAGAGGTTGATGAGTTATTTTTGTTTCGTCTCAGATGACTGCAATTGTACACGACACATCTTCACCCCTCCATTCCAACCGCTCCCCTCCTCCCTCACTGTGAAGCCTCCGACTGTCCGGGGATGAAAGGCTTGCCATCACCAGGTCCAATCCGCACGTCAGCAAAGATCTGCTTCGGCCTCAGCTCAACAGGGGTGACGTTGGCGGGCTGATCAGGAATCTTCTTCTCCAGTTTCTAAAGCCGGGGTATGGTTAATAAATTATGGCGCATTGGATGTTGACAAGGATGCCGAGGTTAGAACGTACCAAGTTATCGTAAACGCACTTGTTGAGCTTCCACTCGGCGGGACGGCACTGCCAGAGCTGCTGGTTTCGGTTGTCGAGGCACTCCCAGTGCTTGCGGAACTCGGCTAAGCAGTGTGTGTTGATGTCCTTGAGCCTGGATGACCTCAAACGTCAGTACCCCTCCTTTCCACAAACGAGTGACTTCTCCAACGACCGAGCCCTCGGACCCAGATGGCTGGCTCCAATTCTTGCAATTCATTAAGCTGCTCGCAGGCGCAGGAAAACGTACACACTCTGGGCGCAGCGGGTTACCCGTCGTCCCTCCTTCAAGCAGTTCAGTTCTCCCTTGCCGGGGTTCTCGGTCTTGCACTGCATGTAATCATCGTTGTAGTCGCGGCATCGTGCGCCGATGAAGAAGGAGGCCGACAGCAGAGGCGCAGAGGAGGCACCAATCTCCTGGACCTGGGGAATGTTGTCCGGGAGAGGCGTGGTGTCGATGAGCACCTGCTGGTGGAATCTGCCACATTGTTAGTTGCTGCTTGTCGCGGGATGTCGCCAATGTGCCCTCAGGCCGGCTCAATGACGTCGCTGCTGGATCTTGGAGGCCGGATCAACATACTGAGACCGTCGTGATGCCATGATTGCCGGGTGGTTCGATTGACCCTCTGTGAAGCTTGCGGTAGGATAATGGAGCTATGAGGTTCTTCCGACTGACGCTTAGTTGAAAGATTGTAGTTGCTGCAGCCAATCAGAGACGACCGGGGGGTCAGCAACCGTAGCCTTGTTGGCGTCTCTGAGGCGGCTGTCGAGGGTACATGGAGAGACTTAGAATCTACGGGAAATACTTGGCTTGCAGAAATTGGGTCTGTTGAAGCCGCTGAATTCTCGTCGTTTAGCGCTAGACTTGCTGTAGTTTAGTGGGCATGCGTTTGCTGATTAAGAAGCTAGGTACTCTAGGTAGCTTCAAGTAGTGGCGCTAGTTGACAGTCAAGAGAATTGCAAGTCTCTCTTCACAATCACTGCTGTACTCAGGCACTTGTACTATTGAAAAAGCATTACTTCAGTATAGGAAGATATTTACCCTTGATTTATTTTTTTCACTGCCATTGCACCTGCTCCCTGTGCTACTCAATCGTGGTGCTCGCATCAAACTGCATTTCGCGATTCTGCCCTGGAGGCAAGCTGTGATTGGCTGGGCGGTGGACGAGGCTGACCTGCGCGGTACCTTGGTACCTCCTACTGAGCGCGACCCTGCAGCAATTTTGTAGCAAGTCAACAAAACTGCCCAGCGACGAGAAAAACATCCGCGCATCAACGACAACCCATCCAGCAATTCGCCGACGACAGCACCTCCGACATTCGAGAAACGGCATTCCGCAATCCTTTGCGCCTCCATCCTTTTTAACAAGGCTCCTGTGGGAGCTTTGCGGATAGCCTCACGACACTCGCTGGAGGAGCTGCGGTCTTCCTTTTCACCATGTCGCTCTTCGGACAACCAAAGCCTCT